TTCAAGACGCAGATAACTACATCACGTGAACTCACTGTACCGTTGTTGTGTATCGTTGCGTCAGCATTCTGCTATTCTTGTACGAGGTAAACGAGGTAGACGAGCTATCTTACCAACATTTTATTTTCTGAGCTCACATCAGCGTTGCATCACTGCCACAGGCCCACAGCCGGTAGATCACTCTTACCTTACGTCACACACAACAAGTGTTGGTATCTTTGTGCCTTTCCCACCATTCATCGACTAGAATTCTTTCTTCAACAAACAATTTAGTATCATCATTTATGAAGAGTTGTCGTATTTTTGTGATGAGATGTAGAGTTTACTAGATCGAAATAACGAGGACACTGCAATGATCAAGATATATGATCTAAGTGAAAAGTTTATGATATGCCATAACAGTAGAATATCGTAGTTGGAAAGACTAGATAGATGCATGTGATGCCCATCTATTTCTTCTCACCGCAGCATCATGAGTTGAAGGTATGACGGAGATTATGGCTAGGGTTGTGGGAGTATTGTGGAATGAACGAACACATGGAGAAGATTGCATTGAGAATTTGTATTATGCTGGTCTGATCCAATCTGGATTTGATCGAAGTTTTATGATATGTGTGCAGTGACAAACAGAGCAGGAGGAGTAGTGGAGCGAAGCGGATAGATTTGGAAAGATAGAATTGTATCAAACGTAGAAATAATGGCGAGAGTTGAAATTCCATCATCATCATATTGTTATATCTATCTATCTACTATTATCGAAGTTGAAGATGCGCTCATCAAATACCTCTTCATTCTTCCCCAACATCCAGTGATCGAGTATAGCATCACCAACATACCATCCCCAGCCCTTAGCATACACAAAAGTCCTGCACAGTGTAGATACACACACCAAATCCACATTCCCTCTTCTCTTTCCAAAATCTTCCGCACCTAATATCTCCTCCTGACACAGACATCCCTCCTCATCCTACCCCTCCACTTCCCTTAACAAATTTTCCATCCACATATCCAGTAACACGAAGCACAACAGCAGCTTCGCTACATATACGTATCACTGCATCCACACCACATTAGCTCACATATCGGATACCGATGTGCATACATATTTCATGCATGTATATGCAAATGTGTCTTTCCGAGGAAAGTGGAGTGACGGACAGACGCCATATGCGGGAGGGAAGTGGGTTGATTGATTGATGAGGTGCATGCGCAGCCTTGCTTTTTGTCGTTTGGTTTGCGGAGATGCAGGTAGACTGTGAGTCAATGGGGAAGGTGGATGCATGGATTATTGACGATGGAAATGTAATGAGGATCAAGAGTGTGATGATGGTTTGAATGAAAGAGGATGTAATATGATCTTGTGCGACGGAGTCTGGAAATATTTAGAATATCGAAATGATGACTTGCGATATATCATACTGAGTTTAACTGATTCTGTGCCAGAGATATACTTGAGAATTTGTGAGCCACTGAATAACATGCGAGACCTCGCCACGTCTTTTTGTCTTCTTTCATCCGAGTTGAAAAGTCTACGTAGGTCGGGAGAAGATGTAGACCTTACAAAACCAAAAACCTCAATAACTCTGTATAAGACGTGCCGCTGGACTACATCTATCAATTGTTATCTTTTCGAATCATCCCTTTCAAGGGAACTTCACGAGGATTCATAACCTCTCTCATTCTAAGCAGGTAATCTGACCTCCGAAAACATAAACTAAGTACATGAAAGAGTAGTGATATGGTTATTCTGGACAGCTATTCGATTAAGACTTTCCGTCCTAAATCTCGCATCTGGATATCAATTCTTAGGACCAAAAAGCTCTAGAAAACAAAGCAGCTCACGAACTCCTCTCCACCTTGCCTCATCTGAAATGGGTTCAATTTACCCAGATCGTTCCTGGACTACCAGCAGCTGCTAAAAAAGGATTGCCCTATGAATAGGGTATGGAAAACAGATTCCTCATGACCACGGTGCAAAAATGTACTTTGAAAAGAAAGGTGGCCCCTCTCTCTGGATAACAGAGAAAAAAACACGTTCATTTCAGATATTCCCGAAGCACAATATCTTTTCCAAGATCCTAACACCTATGAAACAATACGGCGCGACTATTATATCAAATAACCTGAGATCTAGTCCTATAAATGAGGGGGTTTGAACTTTCGAGATTGCTTAAGTTTTGAAAGCTTTCAAGACGCCCAAAAATTATTCAGATATATATTTTTTGAGTATATCTCCCAATCACCGCAAATGCTCTTTACCCTTATCATAAATGAGGATTGGAATTGACTTGCCGCTCACACAAACTTCATTGATTCAAGAGCTCGGATTTTCAGAGAATATTTAATGCCAAAGACCTAGACACTGAAGCTAAAGATTGTTAATATTCTACTAGTTTATTATCAACAACTCCAAGCCCGAACTTTTCAGAGTCAATCACCATGAGAATTCTATGCCATAGACAATTTTCCCTTCCATGTCCCACGACTGTTTCCGTAATCATACACACCTGGGGGTTATTCTGAATATTAGAGTCTTGATCCAGCTTGTCGTCTAGTCTCATCTTTAAGACTCTCATCATTATCCCAACCCGTTTCATCGCGATAATGCATAGTTGGGTCATCTACTCTTGATGGTGGAATATCCCTGTACTGGCCACCGGCTGTTAACTCCTGGTTTCTCAACATAATTGCTTGATCTTTCTTCTTCCCTAGTCCCATTCTTTGTCTTCTTGAACCAGTTCCATATTCCTTGCGTCGACCCATTACACTACCCATCCCAATGGTGCGATGCTTTCGATTGCAATACCACGTTCCGCCAATCACTAGAACAATAAAAGCGAGGACTGTTGGAAGGGCAATATAGAGAGAAGCGCCATGTGGAGCTTTGCTTGGAGATTGACGATATGGCTCAGGCGCAGGAGAAGTAGTCACCATGATTGTTGGACCTTGAACGGAAATGATATCCGTTTTCTGGGTGGGTGTGACAAATAAAGTTACGTTGTTGAACTTCATGCCCTTTAACCAGCTCTTATCTATCTCCCAAGCAATGAAACCAAGATTATTACTTGTGGGCACCGATTGAAAAGCCTGTACCCCTCCGCCTGAAGCATTAACATAGTTCGCCTGTATGAAAACCGAAACATTCGACCCAGCGAAGTACCGAGCATCCCAAGTGACTGCCACATATCAGCAATTATCCGATAGAATAAGATAAAAGTACTAACCATAATATGTCTCGTCGACATATACACTAGATCCGTTATCTGGCTTACAAAACGGTGCAAACTTCCCTTTGAGATTGTGGCAGATCTCAAAGGCTCCACCACCTGTTGGTGTAGGTAACGCTTCACTGGATGTAGATATCGTTGACGCTTCAGAAAAAGAGGAAGTACTGGTAGCAATCAATTGTGCTGGAGCAGCATCACTTGTAGTGACTTTACTATTGATTGTCGTAAGAATGGGTGTAACTGTTGACGCATCTCCACTGGCATCGACGGTGACCCATGGGCTCAATTCTTCATCTGTAATTGAGGCTGCAGTTTCTCCTGCTGGAATTTCTTTGTTTGTGGCAGATGCATCTATTGCGGTGGAAGTAGGAGATCCAGTTGAGGAATGATCGCTGGAGTTTACTGTATCAGATTCTGTGGAAGAATAAGTCAATATGAAAATCCTATTTAAATAGAAGGCATCCAATATCTACTTACCTGCTCTACGAGCTGGGGAGGCTTCTATAATTCCATATAGAAGGCCCATCATTATCGCGAGAAGTGACACTCGCATTATGTCCTTTTCCTACCTACCTAGGTATTATTTAATCACGACTAAATCTTCACTGAAATCGATGTTGAACCAAATAAGTTAACCTTGAAGGATTCGGAATAGCGAGTCGTCAAGAAATCAATGAATGAAGAGTTTCTTATGGAAACTTTGTAATTGATAAATTTCAACGAGCATATTGAAATGGATAATTGAGGCAAGGGATTAAAAGCACGGACGAGATCAAGCTTGTCTGTGCACATCTACGTTCCTGACTAATTGACATGGGCTCTCTTATTAATGATATTCTATTGGTTGTCTTTCGCATTTTATACTCTCGGGTGTAACCGAAATCTGGGGATAGTGTCAGTGACATCAAATGATCGCTGTCACTGTTAATTCTCCACTCCATCAGTCACCACTCGATGCACATCAACAAATGAAAGCCTTTTCAACACTCTGTCTGCACTCTATTAAATTTTGGTAAATCTGCTCTTGAGCACTTGAACCGATGATTACACCTGTAGTTCTGCGCTCCAGAATCAAAAATGTCATACAGCTCTTTGAATCTCAGCCTTCAACTTTTAAATAGTCGACATTGCGTTAGATATTCTTTGTTGTCTTTGATTACCTAGTTGTGATCAAGTGAGCCTTCGGCTATTCCAGGGGCTGGCTCAATAGGAGTCACAAAGAATCTGCTTTGAACTCTTGATTTTCAGTGTACAATAGGTTATGCTCCAGTGCAAAATTACGCGCAAAGTCATTTGAACTTATCCCAAGTAAAGGTTGATTTTTGCTCTTTCTTACGAAATGGTTGAATGTATGCTTCGTGATGTTTGTGTGTCAGCGTCTTTCTGAACTAGTGTCAATAAGGTTCTCTGGATGATATATTGGAGTACACATAATGCGTTTGGAAAAATATGGGGTTCAGTTATACGGCAAAGGTATTTAGAAAACATTATGCATGCAGGTTGGAATCTTGAAGTAATAAAAAGGCGCATATCATACTGCTATGTCCCGAAGACCATCTACCACGTAGCAGTTTGCTGCCTCCTTTGCCTAATTCCCTTACCTACATAAGTCCCAGTGAATTGTCAAAATGCCAGAGCACATAATGATTCAATTGACTGAAGTTTAAATTCACCTCAGCTTTGGTTACCTCAGTCTTAAAATCTTCTTACGACCTATTTTCTTTCTCCTTCTTTTCTCCACAAACTTTCACACAACCACCAGGTACCACAATCATGGCTACAAAACAATCCTCTCTGGTCGTTGATCCTGATATTATCGATGGTCTACCTAGACCTTCCCCTTACACTCTTGCTGAAGCTTCCATCCCTGATCGTATCAATTGTACCGTAAGTATTTATTCCGCCTACATGATGGACTATAGATTGAATTTTGATTGAATTGAACTGATATTTAATTCTTAGGTTCCAATATCTGTCCGCCCCTCTTTCATCGATCCCAAAAACAAAGGTCTTTATATTGATAAGGATGTATCTCCTGGAGATATCTTGTTTACAATCGAAAAGCCTTTGTTCGCCATTGTAGGTGGTCCCATGTTCCTCTTTACTCCCTCGTTCGTTCACAATCGTGTCTTGGTACATTTTCCCTTTGAAATTAGACGAATTTTCAATCAGATCAACCAGATATCTGTACCACTTACAATTCCACAAACCGCAAGTTACAAAGTTTGGTACCTACCCAGCTATTGAACAAACACCTTATGTTTGACTGCATGCCAATTTCTGCAGATATTTTCAAGAATTTCTGGCATCTCTGGTCTGACACCTAACTGTCTTCAAACGGCATGATCAGCGTCAATTTACCTTGTACTTGCCGACTGGTTGTAAAGCTTTCCAAAATACATTCATTTAAATCTACATAATCCCAGTTTTTTTGTCTGTGGGTTTCAATGATCTTGAAGATCGTTTCTTTTCTTCAAAACCTCAGGGCCACACCACACATTTATTTCTGATATCTGGAAAGACACTTTTACCTATAGCTCTAGATAGCCATTTATTGTCTTTCAGAGTGATAAATTGATCTACTGAGAGACTTGTACCTCAGTTCATTGAAAGAAAAGCGTCAATGACTTTGAGTTCCTCTACGAAAAGCTCTAACGGTTTTTATCACTTTGAAGGAGTCAATGGAGGGATGTTGTTCATTCACTCAGCAATTTATGAGTCTAGATACCTACATTCCTAATACTTCACTCACCTCACAGCACCCCATTGAACCGGAATGCTTCAACAATGTACTAATACTTATAGGTCGAACAAATCAACACGAGATTAAAAACATGCGATAACTGCTTTGCATACCAGAGCGTGGAGCGTGGATTAGGGACTGTCAGTACTGTAGAAAGATATATCGAGACAGCTATTCCATTCGACCAATGTGGAAGCTGTGGGGTGTACCACTACTGTGACGAGGTAAGATTAACAATTATTGTTATATTTTCGAAAAGCTAACACAAAACAGAGATGCCAGAGGGAAGCATTTGAACACCATCATAAGCATGAATGTATTAATTTCGTAGACTTTTTATCCGAAGAGCCCTTAGCAGAGTCCTTCATTGAGCGCACGGATTTCCGCTTTGTTCTCCGTTTCTTGTGTATGGCCAAAGCAAATCTTCTTACAAAAGAAATAATGAGGGAATTTTTCACAGCGCCGGTAGGGAATTTGTATGACTTTGGGCCTTCCATGGAGACTTCCTACAGAAATCTGAGTCTCAATATGAAACTTCTCGCAAATTCACCCGTACACGAAGATTCAATCTTCCATATTCTCTGCTTTGTAAGTTGCAAGTTCAATTATTTTACACAGTATTGCTAATTACATTAACAGGCTATTCATCAAATTATTCCGATGTACCAGCCATTCATATGCCAGTTCAATAGGCATGATATAAGTTATTGGGACACCAGTTCTCCAACGAGCATTCCTTGTGGTTGTAAGTAAAGCTCATTCTATTGTATTAAAGAAAAAGGCATATTAACAAACATGTTTCTAGATTGCTACGAGCCGTTCATCACAATCATGAGAAATGATTGCAATGCCAACACTCGCGAGTACTTTGATGGAAAGACATACATTCTACAAGCCAATCGTGCGATCCCTGCCAACACTGAGATTACCCGTCGTTTCAGTTCTTGGAATGACTACGAAGCCCGTCGTCTTGATTTTATGAGAAAAGAAAAGCTTGATTGCAAGTGTGCTTTATGTATTCGAGGAGATCTAGGACCGACAGGTGATCTTCGAGAGCGCATGCTTTCAATTCACGTTGACAATTACAAGCCTAAAGTTGACAAGGAGAAACTCAAAGAACAACTATCGATCGATCACAGGATCATTGCTGATCTAAAAACCTATGGGTTCGGCCACGATTGCCCTGGTCTAAGAAGAGCATATATGAGTCTATTCAGCGGTCAATTTGATCTAGACTCCCGCACCAAAACTCAAGATTACAAAGGGTCCTTGAGACTTCTTCTCACCGTCTACTACCTGATCGATCCAGCTGCATGCCCGGCACCATTACCGGAAGAACGCATCAAAGTTCTGCATTTCCTCATAGTTATCGCCTACATTGGAGAACACTCACGATCCAAGGTTAGCAAGATCGTCCTCACAATGCGCAAATTTATCTATCATTGGCGTTCGCAGCTCGTCCACTACTCCAGGCAAATGGGTGGCCCCAATACCAGGATTGCTACATTCCATCGAAACTCATTCGAGGAAGACCTGGAGGCTCAGAATATACCTGTTTATACGGATAAAGATGATCTCATGAAGGAGTTGAATAGTTGGCTTAAATTGCTTGGTCTTGATGAGATGACACCAGAGCAGATTCTTCGTACTTAAATGGAGCAAAGAATATGCAAGCAGAGCATTTAGTGGTTGGAATGCCTTTGGCATATATTGCACTGCCAGAATTGTGATTTCTCCCAGATAGGGCTATGGAGGAATCATGGTGGAGAAACCGTGGGTATCTGTCCGTGGGTGAACTCAATGATATTCAATATGGGAGGAGACAGAATGTAATATCTTGTTCAATGCGAAGATAAAATTCGCGCGAGAGACAAATATAAAATAGTTAGATAAATCACAAATCTTTTCTCTGACCCACGAGTTCCAGTGCTATGTAGACCGCAGTAGAACCCCACGCGATATAGGATAATTTGACAACAGCTCATTGGACATAGCCAATTTATGTATTTTACATCAGCCTTCAACCACTTAACAAAGGGCTCGAGTTCCGGATAACTGTTAGCCCTACCGGCAGTTTGGAACTCGGACTTGGCCGACCTAGAAGCATAGAAACTTTGAACTGGAATCTTATAATCCTGCAACCCGTTTATGGCTCGAGTCATTCAAACTAGAATTTCCGGTCAGCTGTTACGCTAGTAGTAGGGCTTACACAACTCGCAGAAGGTCCACTTGTCCACTTGTTGAGTTGTCGGTGCATTTATCGGTACCCTGAAGATAAATTATAGCGAATCAAATTGCAATTCAGATGATTGTGGTAGAAGCTTCTCGGGTCATAGAAGCTAAAAGTCTTGTCAGACTCGTCATAACTACAGTGAAGAAGTGCACAATTTATAAACGCGGAAATACGCTCTTGGTTGGTCTTACTTATTTGAAAGATTGAAGGGTCCTACGTAGATTTCGACCACTCGGGGTGATGAATTAGTTTAGAAGCTTATCTTTCCGTAAAGTAGTCTGATTTAAAGAGCGATATACCAAGCTGGCCGAGACGGAAATGTACTGAAGGGCGCAGTACATTGCTTGGGACCAAGGGGAAGTACTTGGTAATTTCCACACCGTTGCGATAAGCAGTCGTCATGACAGAAGATTGGCTGGCTATATATATTGATCTCGCACCCTTTGAGCAAAATCGTCTTCACCGACGTTTTCTCTCAGCCCAAATTCGACTTTCAAACCCGCTTGAAAATCCAAAGCGAACATTGTCAGGAAGACTTAAACAATCGCCTTAACTATTTAATTATGGCTTCAAGCGAAACCCAGAACAAGAGCACTTATGCCGTTGAGATGGTCAAACGATTTTCCAAGCACGCTGATGGCAAAACCTGTATGCACTTCACGTTTTCCCTAATCTCGCCTATGTCTGATTTTACTCTAAAAACACCATATAGTTCTCATTACCGGTCCCAGTGAAGAAGGGATCGGAGCAGAAATTGCCCTCTCCATTGCATCATCTTCAAACCCTTCAATGATAATTCTTGCTAGTCGCCAAAAAACAAAAATTCTCTCCGTCATGTTCCTCATTCGACGCATGAACCCCAATATTAATGTTGTCTGGATCCCATTAAACTTACTTGATAATGAATCTATCCGCGCAGCAGCAGATGCTATCCAGAAACTGGAGATTGAGAGAATACATGTTGTCATCAATAATGCTGGAGTTATGGGCGTACGAAATTATACAACCTCCAAACAGGGTGTTGAGGGCCAATTTGCTGCAAATTACTTGGGTCATTTCCTATTGACCAACTTGTTGATGGATCAGATTATCGCGGCGAAAGAAGAAGATGCAGTAATTGTTAATGTGGGGAGTTTGGGGTATGAGCTGGGCGAGGTGAACCTTGATGATCTTAACTTCAAGGCATGTCGACCTATTTCTTTTCCCATTGCGAAAACCGTCGGTTAACGGACCTCGGTCATAGGGAGAGCGAACTTACAATGCTTGGAAGGCATTTGGACAGTCGAAGACTGCGATGCTTCTCTGGAACATCGCTCTAGGAAAAAGACTGGCCAATAAAGGTGTCTCAACATTAGTCGTGCACCCGGGAAGTGAGTTGCTTACTGTGTAGGGTGTTGTGCAAGAAAGCTGTATTGATAACATTGAAGTCACTTTCGAAACAAAAATTCTCGAAAACTCTAGCATTGATGAAGAACTACTTGCAGAGGCATGCAAGCTCGCCACAAAGAGGGATGAGGGTAAGTAGCTTTACCAGCATCTATTCCAGGAACTCATATCAGAAAACAGGCAATCTTTTCCACCCTCAGAAAATGGCAACAAGACAAGAAGCAGCTGGGGCAGTCGTTCGTGCCGCACTGGATCCTGCATTTAAAGGTGCATTTCAGTCTTCAATTATCGACGAACTTGCTGATTATAAAATCTAGCATTATCTCCGGCATTTATTGTTGACGAAAAAGTATATTCAGAGACTAGGAGCTACGCAACTAGCGAACAAGATGCCGAAAGACTATGGAAACTGAGCGAACAACTTGTCGGAGAAAAATTCGATATCTAGAAAAATCACCACTATTGAAGAAGATTGAAAGGGTCGACGAGCACAATTCAGTAGCAAATGAGGGAAAACAGTCAGCAAGAAGCATGTGAAGCTTTTCAATGTTGGTCGATTTCAACAAAAGATGGGAGCGGTCCTAACTGCAGCACAAGAATCATTATACTTCCAACACTAATTTCACGCCACTGACCCCTCCTTTCAACTCATCCAATGCCTTGTTTGCGGACTCCAATCCCCCATCTACTACTTTGATGATCGGGCTGGGTACAAACTTTCCCGTCTGCAGTTTTTCCTTTAGCCAAGTCCAATAGAGCCATTGTGACCATTCAACTCTTTCGGCATCATCTGTTGGCGCAGCAACAAATTTGATGTTTATTCCCTCCACAGTTGGTGGCTGGGGTCTCAATGGTATTGCTGATGCTAAATTGGCCACATTATCACCCTTCGTAGCTTTCAGGATGTCCAAGATGGGTTGTAATGCACCAGCAGCATCATATGCTAAATCAATTATGATCCCATCTTCTTTTGCAGACTTCACAATGTTTTCTACAACAGCAGTGTCTTTGTAATCAAACACTTTCGAGGCACCGAGTTTCTTGACATACTCATGATTGTATGGGCTAGCAGTTGCATATACCACATATCCCATGGTCGCGGCTTGCTGTACACCCGCCCCTCCAACGCTGCTGCTTCCACCCCATACTAAAGCTCCTTTCTTATCTGAAGATGTGAATTTCGTATCACGCGCCAAGCCAACGGAATACCAAGCAGCCATCGCAGTTTGCACAGCCATTGGAAGAATTGCTCCCTCGTTGAAGCTTATTGCGTCAGGTAACGGGCATACACTTGAAGCTGGCACAAGAACTTTCTTCTGAAATGCGCCATGATCTGGATCGCCTTTTGTGAAAAATGCGGGTGCAAAAGCGGTTACTCGTGTTCCCACTTTCGGTGCAGCAGCTGGCACAGATTGGTCGGCAGAAACAACGATACCAGAGATATCGGATCCGGGAATTGCGGGGTAGGTAGCACAAGAAAACCCGTGATCGCGCATATAATGGTCGATCGGGTTACACGCAATTGAGTGGACCTCTATGAGAAGTTCTTTGAGACCGGGAATTGGGGTGGGCCTATGAACCAATTCAAAAGGACCACCTTTCTCAGGAATGATAGCAGCAAGATGCTGTGGATTTGTTGTTATTGAGGACATTATGATATGAGAGATATTCAAACGATCTTTCTGGAATATAGTTGACTGAGGACGATGTAACTGTGGGATAAAGAGAAGGCCATATCTTTGCTTTTATACTTACCTCACTTCGGAAGTTCGGAGTCATCGCAATTTGAAACCCGAAGGAATTAATGAAATCCAAGGAAACGGAGATGTCAATATGCTCAACATCAGCTAACATTCATTGATATTCGCCGTTATATCGTCTTGTTGAGGATGTTTAGAATTTAGGCTAATCGCTTTTCGTACTCATTCATATTCGTCAGGCGAAAGCTAACCTCATATCGTATTCCCTAGAGTGGGTCATCTGCCATGGTAGGTAGGGTGATTTGATTGGATGGAACCATACGATCCCAAATAGTCGTGATCCGATATCTTATCTCCTAACACCGGCCAAACAACGTTGGAAGTCTAGATCTTCCGCTCAACTCTGATTAATTGATTGAGTTCACTACCACTGGTAATGAGAAAGAATTGATACAAGAAGACTGCCATTCTTTGCGATTTCAGCGACATTGTGGCACGTGCAGTCATCAGTCGCAAATGTAGCCTCCGCGGTTTCTGTCACATTATTCGCTTCGACTTTTTAGTACCCTCACAATACAGCTTATATTTGATACCTGTGACAAATCATAGTTTGAGCCCCTTCCATAACCGAAACCCGACATACCAATATCAAGAGTGAGTTTGTATAAGCATTGAATGAAGCATGACAGAAATTCCAAGGCTTGCTACCACATCTCAGTATATTCTCGTCTCAAGCTATATTCACTCCGCACTGCGATTACAACAGAGTGTAAGAACCCACCGCCTTCTCTGTCCGAACACAAGACCCACTTTCTCACTCTATCAAAAGAAAGCAATCCAAAAAATGATAATACTCAGACGCCAAATTATACAAAACGACCAAGTACCCCACACAACGGCATACATTGAAGCGCCATGACAGGTTTAGCAAAATCCTTAGGAGAAAGAAACAATCCTAGTTAGCAAAAGAGTTCATGCGCCCGGTGCACCAGGCGCGCTACATCTCTGTTGACCTATTTCGCTGTATCCCTGACTCCGAAGGGATCAAATGCTCCCCACAAAGATACCGCGCGCACCTCGAGTTGTCGTGTCTAACTGCTAAGCTAGATTGTCGCTTTGTCAATACCACCATTTGACGAGAAGTGATGCCATATTTGCAGATATCTTTGTTAGGCGAATGAAGTAGATTGTGCAGCTAGTGCAATTGTGAAAAGGCAAATAGAAGCGAAAAGTGACCAATGATTAAACAGAAATGAAATGTGAAGATATGAAATCTTGGGCATACTTTCCTGTCTATTCTATCTATATTCTATCATCCTTCTATCTGATCTTAATACTGAGATATGGATAATTTTGAAAGTCAAATAGAGTCGTCAAATAATCAACATACTATATATCTAATCAGGCGCGTAACTCCATACAAATCTCAGAAAACAATGGTCTATCCATAACAATAGGGTTGGTACACTTGTAATGCAACTGGTTCAAATCCTCAATCACACACCCCTCTTTCTCATCCCAAAGACTGAGATTTTCCACAGCAACGACTTTTCGCGCCACCAAACCTAACATATCTTCAATTAAATGACCAAAGGCGAAGACTTCCATCTTTTCGATTGCCTCTGAATGTTTGTAACCCTTTTGGTATATTGTCGCAGCGCCGAAGTCTCCAAGAAGAGCATGACCGGAGTCATCGATCAAAATATTATGCGCATACAAATCTCCATGGGTGATTCCTCTTTCATGGAGATGCTTACTCGCGGATGCGATCGAGATTAGAATTGCGCGACATTTCTCGATAGAGAAGACAGTTTCTGGACGAAAAGCGTCGCGTGTACAACTATCAAGAGTTGGTGGAAGGCCCAAGTTTGTGTAGTGAGGAGGAATGAGCTCAAGTACCAATCCTCTTTTTTCTGGATGGCCATTAATCTTGCCTATTGGATCAATGAGATTCGGATGACGACCTGCGGTGATGCATGCATTCATTTCGTCTGCTGGTACGCCATCACTGGTCACCTCGCCTTTGAATAACTTGACAGCAACATTCTTTTCGGCGGTAGACGATTTCCACACGCCTTTTGAAATTATACCCGAAGCTCCTTCTCCCAAAAGGTGATCGATCTTCAAGTCTGACCACGAAATGTCATTTAGCGTTGGATTGTCTTCATTTGATGGGGTGCAAGGGTTCCCAGAGAACGAAAGAAATGATAATTCGGGAAGACTGAACAACCAAGGCGGTAAACGAGTGATCTTGTTGGCCGACAGTCTCAGTAAGCCCAACTTCCGACAATGAGACATCTCGTCAGGGAGAGACGTCAAGCTATTTCCCGCCAGCATGCATTTTTGGAGTCTATGACAGTTTCCAATACTATGTGGTAGACATTCAATCTTGTTATTGGTAAGGATCAGCCACCGTAGCTTGCGGGGAAAGACTTCTTCGGAGATCGTAGTCATTCCATTGTTTTTGAAGGCAACCATTTCTAGGGAACGGCACTGGGCCAATTCTTTGGGGAAACTGATAAAATTGCAGTCGGAAAAGAAAGCAACCTTGAGTTTATGAAGTCGGTGAATCTCTTTGGGAAGTGTCGAGAGAGGGTTATTAGATAGATCAAGAATCTCGAGCGTATCGTAGAGGTCCAAGATCTCTCGAGGGAACTCCGTGAGACCACATGATAACTTCAACCGTTTTGTTCCTTTGTACTTCCCCGCTCTAAGATCATCAAAAGATTGCATCATGGGCCTTGATGGATACACAGTTAAGTGTATGTGAAAGAATTGCGAGTGTTGTGTGTACTGTGTTGAGGATGAGAGTTTGTGGAAAGATAGCGGGCTGGAAATCTTCCCAAGTAGACTTTGAAATCACGGAAAATACATACTTCTTGGCTAAAAATACAACAGGATTCCAAATGACACGAAGAAAGGGGTGAGATAAGTCTGATGAAAAGCAAATGCTGACACCAAGCGTTTCGGATTATGTTGTTCCTGCTCCGAGTCACATGCAAGAGGCATAAATTAGTACCACCATCACAAATTTAAACAGCAAAGGACAAGGTCGTGAAATCAGCCAGAGTCTAAGGAATTCAAACAAAAGTGTATCTTGACAGTTCATTTCGATACTCCTCTAAAAACTTCGGGTCAGGAGTGTAAAAAGGCTCATTTTCACCGGGTGCCTATCGCTTCCACCTTCCGTATTCCAAAGCTTTCATCGCTTAAAGTTGCCTAGTCCTAAACTGTAACTTTCACGAATTCGAGCGCATTTATTTACAAGATCGACGACGCGACAACTTATCAGCCTACTTATTATTTTGGTTCCTATCATCTGAAACTCGATTGCCTCAACCTTCCGTTCTCAATATTCTCTTATCGTCATGGCATCACAAACAATGAATTCATCAATGCAGCCCACTGACGTTTATGGAGGAGGTAAATACTTTTTTGCCAGCCACCTCAAAGGTCCATGAGTATCTTACTAACATAACCAATTAGATGAAGTATCAGCCATTGTCATTGACCCGGGATACTCAAGTATACGCGCCGGCTTTGCAGGAGAAGATACCCCCAAATCATTCATCAACTCACATTATGGTGTTCGCGATGGAGAACCATTTTATGGCGACAATGCGATTCACAACCCCAGCGCGAACCTCGAAATCCGCAATCCAATGAACAAGGATGGAATTGTTGAAGACTGGGATACTGCGGAACAGTTATGGAAATATGCTATTACTTCGCGACTTACGAGCTTCAAGCAGGCGGATCCTAGAACCAACGGACTAAATGATCGACCAGAGGAGATGGAGGTTGATATGGATGTGGATGCGCACGAAAAACCCTTGGAAGAACACCCACTGTTAATGACGGAGACTGCATGGAATACAGCCAAATCTCGAGAGAAGGCTATTGAAGTAGCTATGGAATCTTGGGGAAGCCCTGCCTTTTGGCTCGCGCGAAACAGCGTTCTCGCAGCGTTTGGAGGCGGCAAGGCTACAGCGTTGGTGGTCGATGTTGGAGCATCAAATGCATCAGTTATAGCCGTACACGATGGACTTGTACTCAAGAAATCAGTGCAGAGATCCCCTCTCGCTGGCAACTGGGTATCCTCCCAAATCCGCGCCATGTTCAACACCGTAGAACCCAAAGTCGAGCTCACTCCGCATTTCATGATCTCATCCAAAACCCCCGTTGACGCAGGTGCCCCAGCCCAGGCTACCTACCGCAACTTCAAAATTCCGCCTACGCCCAGTTTCCGCGCTTTAGAAGAAGAACGTGTTTTAACAGAATTCAAAGAATCGGTTGTGCAAGTTTGGAGCGGACCAAATCGTCTAAATGCTCCTACCGGACCCGGAACTTTAACCACAAACGTGGATTATGCGAAACAGCAACCGGGCCGGGTATTCGAGATGCCAGATGGTTCGAATCAGATGTGGGGTGTAGAGCGATTCAATGTTACGGAAGGCATGTGGGATGAAAAGGCTGCGCTACCTGTAGACAACGAATCTGCTCCCACAAAAGCCCAAACCCTCCCCGAGATGATCAAAGCTTCTATTGCAGCGGTTGATATGGATCTACGGTCGCATTTGTTGCAGAACATTATCGTCACAGGTGGGAGCACACTACTTAACGGATTCACAGATCGTTTGAATAACGAATTATCACTTTTATACCCGGGTGCTAGAATCAAGTTACAAGCTGCAGGTCTTACACAAGAGAGAAGATTTGGTTCGTGGATTGGAGGTAGTATCTTGGGAAGTTTGGGAACCTTCCATCAAATGTGGATCTCAAGAAAGGAATACGAGGAATTTGGTGCCAGTATTGTGGAGAAAAGGTGCAAATGAACTTACTTCTTATTCCCACAGTTATTGCAGAAAGCCAAAAGTTATGCTTTAGATCTATGGTGGTATGAAATGAAAGTGGAAGGTGGGAATTGGGCTGGCGTTGGAGGAGTTTCCAGTGCGTGCTGAGATTAAGATATAATACCTTCGATTCTAGAATATGTGCACAATGAGATTCATGACAAAGCTAAATCTCCTCTTCTAAGACTGCGCTTCAGAATTTCGCTCTACCATCCTCGCCATCTTACCCAAACATCAATAATCTCTTCTTCTTTTCCCGTTCGACTCTCGTCTACAATTAGATACCATCCATATCCTGCCCCAGCAATACATGCGTGATTAGGCCAGATGCGAACTTTTTGGCCAATGGAGAGTTCCGAGTCGTTTTTTCCTGGGTTAGTAAGTATTCCGTGTTCTTGCGAGATTCGCGAAACTTGCCACTATGATCATTTTAGTTGTCGGCTGCTTTGCTGTTTAGTGAAAAGGGTATACTTACACCAGAATAACCTTCAGGACCCGTGTTTGGCAAGGCAAAAGAAGTGCGGTTCCACGGCGAGAGAATGCCCCAGCCAGGATATGCCTTGCAAGGTTCACGACCAATAGCAAGGGAGCCAGCCGTGATAAGGGCTTCGGGGGAATCAGATGTGCCCCGTGGGGGGTAGAGTGAAGCGATTTCTGCGAGGATTGTGATGGCTACGGAAGACCACTTTGTGTGTGTCAGTACATGGTAACAACATATCTGAGAGTGGAATGGTCTTACACTAAGTACATCTTCTGGCAATGCATGGGTAGCTAACTGTTGCATGTCGAGCATTGGGTACACTCCAGCATGTATTTCAATCTCACAGCCCACATCACGAATGGCTTCCATGGTAGCCTTCAGAGCAGAGATCTCGTTTAATTCCTCGGAAGAAGCTGATGATAAGAGAAGATTACGAATAGCACTAGAAGTTGGAGTAGCCCCTACAGAAAGCACGAGAGGAATTTTGGTAGCAGCTACCGAATGAACATCTTCAGATGTAATGAGGAGGGCTTCAAATTCTTGGCGAAGATAGTCAAGAGCTGCAGTTTGCGAGTTCGAGGAATAGGAGTGTCCAGCATGAGAATATAGTCCGTGAAAAATGCATATATTACGCTTGGCGAGATTCATGACAGAGGAAATTAATTGAGAGCACGTTTCTGTGCCGGGGATTACACCAGCTCGGTGGCCTCCCATGTCTATTTTAATGAACACGAGAGGCGGTATGTTCGTTTTCTCATGGATGGCAGCGACAGAGCGAAGTTGCGATGGGTGGTCGATCATGAGAGATATACCATTGGGACCAAGAGCTGTAGAAACTTTTGATAATCGGTCGACTACGCCTGAAGTAAGGGGAAAGCTATAAAGTATCTAGTCTTTGTAAATATAGAATCCGATTATAGATAAAACAATGACCAACTCACATTGACATGCCTTCCCTCACTTTTGTACTCGAGGAGTAGAGGGACGATATTCTCCGCCTCTACAACCGTTGAAACGACGATGTTGGCTGGTCCAGGTCCATCTCCAACTTGCAATCTTGTCAATTCCGTTGTCTTGCATATTGGTTAGTATGAATATTGACAAAGCATTATAACAGTTCCAGTTCATGTATTGCTTCGTATTCGAAACAGTGGGAAGATATGTCAACCAGACACCACCCTCAAGGTAAGCTCAGTACTACTGATATGAAATAAGATAAGATGGACAAGAAGACGGGGGTTTATGAGGGGCAAGAACTCCCGAAAGAACTTGTACCTTATGGGTTTTGATATGGGCTCTCCAACCGCACTTTAAGGAGTCTACAGTCTCAAGCATATCGGTACAGTTCTTCCTCAATTTCGATATATCAAGTACAACTGCAGGACAAGGTACATCATGTAGTGATTTGCCCACATATTCCTTCACAAGTTCTTCTTTCGAAGCAGACGGGATGCGAGATGTAGAGTCCATGATTGAATAGAATAGAAATGAAAGATGTGAATAGAAGGTAGAACTATGGCGAGTCCTATAATGGCTTGTCAAGACATCTATCAAAGAATTATGATTCAGACATTTCTTTAGATGTCACTTGGTTTGTAGTGGGGCATATGAGCGGATAGAGAGTTTGTGTGGTGATAGGATATGATGCCATGCATCATGCATAACGATAAAGAATGTATTTCGTCGAGTTCCTGGGTCGGAGATATCAATCTATTCATCAGTACTATTATTAATCCCTTCTTCTCTTCATACGATATTTCATAACACAATCAGAATGTTCTAGCATCGTGAAGTATTGTTTGGATGATATCTATGTTATATTGTAACTCCAAATTCCTTCAACCGTTGTTTCATCAATAATAAATCTACCCCTACCTGCCTAGTACCTATAGCCTCGTTTCCCCGCAGAGTGAATATGGTCTCGTGATTGGCTGCTTATCTATAGGTACTGTATTATAGATAACCTTACACGCCAACTGTGCAATTCCGAGATATCATTCGAAATCCATTTCCATCTTAACTACTGTATAATTAGTGACTTTGGTGAGCTTCGACAACTTTTTTACAACAACCTTTCTCACAGAACTCTCACGCTACCTAAGGAATAACCTTTTCAACATCGATTCCTTTTGCGCAAACAATACTTGTATGATCACGACCATTCCAGCACAACATCACTCTTGGGAGTGATCAGCCAAATCGCAAAGATGGCCGAATCCGAATCCGAACCCAAGGAGTTTACTCAGTTTACTGAGATAGATTGGAAGCGCCAGGACGAACAAGACGCAAAGGCTCTAGAAAGTGTGTTGAGGGCGAGTGGTGAGAATGGCGAGATTAATTTTGGCGATGAACCTTTGGACCTGGGCGAGAAGGCAGATGATGCGCAGGATTTCGAGGATATCAGCGATGACGATCTACCAGAGGAGGAGGAAGCTTCTCTACGAAGCGCTGTCGATTTACCCGCCTTGACCGACGATGCTGGCACGAGCCATGATACCGACGATCTATTTGGAGAAGGAAGAGATTCTTCGCCCTTCGGGTTTGACGAAAATATTGAAATGCAAGATGGAGAATCACAAGCTGCAGAGACTACAGTTGAGGAATTGCCTGATGCGCCTGCTGAAGAAGAAGATTTACTGGAGCTCAATTTTCCAGGTTACAATCAAGCTAGGTTGAACAACCAAGATCTATCGATTCCGGCTCCTGCAGAATCCGAATCAGATTTGGCCAAGCAGTTATTTCCAAGTCTCGAACCTGGCGTAATATTGAACTTCAATGAACTTTTACCTCCAAAGCTCGCACATTTTGTCCCAAAAGTACCGCTGAAGCAACCTAAACCCTTGAATCCTACAAAAGTTAGCCTAGATCTCGCTCCCGACCAAGAAAAATCTTTCCGCAGCAATATAGGAACAGCGACAGGCGATAAGCGCAAACGCGTGGCCGAAGCGGAAGCTAAAGGGCTTGTTGCTATCATTGAAGAATCTGCTGATGAGGCAGAGAATGAGGAAACTTTCGATTTCGAAGAACCGGCGGAGGACGAGAAACTTGGCGGGGTGACTTGGGCGGATCTTCAGATGATTTGTGATGACTGGGATTCTAAGATAAATGCGATATCTATAGAGGCTCAACCGAAATCCCCAGTTGCCCAGGGAGACGATGATGCTTGGCTTGAATTCATGTATTCAGGCAAGAACAAGCCAAAGGCAGAAGAGAAGAACTATTTTAATATCCCTCAATTTGCTGTCCCGTCTTTCGACAATCTGCAGAAGGCTGTTGCGATATCGGCCAAGCGCCCTTTCTTAGATCTTAACGATCCGAACCTCCTTATAGAAGAGCTCAAATTCACCTCGGTGGCTAATAAACGTCAACGTCTAGGTGGAAACTTCAGGGGAGGAAACAACTTCATTTCTACGAAACTAAGGGAGCGCTTTAATATTTCAAACGACGAAGCTTACGATGCTCTCAAGGAGAATCATCAAAGCAAGGTCAGAGCAGCTATTGGAAACCTTACCGTTGAGCACAGTCTGCCTGCATTACGTCTTCAATGGCCATATTACAAGGTCAAACTATACACCAAGGAGGCCAGAGCCTTACATCGACCGACCCTCAGATTCAACAAATGGCTCAATCAGCCCGTCACATTCGACAAACCAGGCATGCGAAAGAAGAAGGAAGCTAGAACGATGTCTATTGCAGAAGTCTTCAAAGAATCAAAAGACCTTACACTAGGTGACTTCTACTCCACTGCTACTTTGATTGAATATTCCGAAGAACAGCCTATAGTTCTTTCAAATTTCGGCATGGGTAACAAAATCATCAACTATTACCGACGTAAGGATGCCGAAGACCAGGATAGACCCTCTCCAGAGGACAAGATTGGCGACACTACTATTCTCCTGTCAGAGGATAAGTCTCCGTTCGCAAATTTCGGTTTCGTGGATCCGGGCGAAACCGTTCGAGCTCTGCACAATGAAATGTATCGCGCTCCAATATTCAAGCACCAACCTAAAAACACCGACTTCCTCTGTGTGCGCAGTACTACGGGAGTTCATGGTACAACATGGCACCTTCGCAATATAGATAATCTATTTGTTGCAGGCCAACAATTTCCGTCCATCAAAGTACCAACCCCGCACTCGAGGACTGTTACAAATGCCACCAAGAATCGGGTTAAGATGATTGCATTCAGAAAAATCAGACGTAGTAACACCAAGTCTCTGAAAATAGCCGAGCTTACTGCTCACATTCCCGATACAAATGACATGCAGAACAGAGCAAAATTGAAGGAGATTCTGGTCTATGATAAGAATGAAAAAGTTTGGCGTCCTGAGGAAGGTACTATCATTCCCGATGAAGCTGCTTTGCGATCCTTGGTCAAACCAGAGGACTGCTGCATGATTGATGCGATGCACGTTGGATGTAGAAATCTCGCAGATGCTGGTCTTTCAGAATTGACAGAAAAAGAGGAAGGCGATGAAGCATTCGTCGACCGACCTATCGATTTCAAGCTTACCCCTTGGAACACTAGTAAAGCTTTCTTGGACGCAACTTCAGGCAAGGCAATGCTTGAACTTCATGGTGATGGTGACCCGTCTGGATGTGGGCTTGCAATCAGTATGATACAAACCTCCATGAAGGGAGGTTACATTGGCGCCGTTCAAGGTCCAAATGCGACATCCGCAGCTGCTATAGCCGCAGAGAGAAAGGCAAACGGCGGGCATACCTATAATGTCAAGAAGCAAGAAGAGCTCTACAACAACGCTATTCGTGATATTTGGGAGAAGCAAAAGTCGACTTTGTCAGATACCAACGAACACATCTCGAACGAATTGGAAGAAGTTGACGAAGACGAACGATTTCGCGTGGCACCCACTCCACATTCCATGGCCACCCCTGCAGCTGGCGATGATAATTTTAGCCAAGTCAGCAGAGTCAGTAACACGGACAATCCCTCGGGGAAATTCATGCGTATTACTCGCAAGGTCAAAGTGGGCAATTATGGACAAACCGAAGAGCGGGTCGAAACGGTCAAAGATATGCGCGTTTGGAAGGAATATATCAAGCGCAAAAAGGTCATGGAGGCTGCCAATTCAGAGTAATGCCCACTAACCTGTTCTATTTCTTTTGCGCTTCTTTTTGAAGACGATAGCTAACGGCGTGCTTTCAGTGTTTATGCCATCACTCCTTCGGGTGATGCAGATCTTGACAGAGCTACACAGATGCAGTAGGTACTCCCTTGCCCATATGAAACTTCCATCAATACCAATAGGCCATAATTAACATTTATTTACAGAGTCCAAAAGGAACTCGACCGTCTCGAGCGCAACAAGGATCGTCGCCACGCCCGCGAAAAGCAGAAGTCCAAACAATCTATGGCTAGCCAACAGCTTCTTAACCCTGGTTCTCCTGGCCCATCCGGAACTCCCGTTTCCAGCATTGAAAAGCCAACTGGTACTACGAGGAAGTGTGCAAATTGTGGTCAGACGGGTCACATCAAGACGAACAAAAAGTACTGCCCCCAATGCCAATCAATCAGCCCCTTTCTCTTTCCAACATAGGTTCTATCACAGGCTCCAGTTAGGAAGTGCTCACACTGAGGCCGCTCTGTTTTCTTGCTCAAGGAGCCGACTGAGACGAACCGTTTCCCGCTCTGTTTCCCAGATGAGTGGAAGTATCCAAGGACCCCTTTACATCTCCTTTTCCTATTTTGCTCAATTTTGTGCCCTTTTCACCGAAATATCATCATTTGCTGACATATTATTTTTCCTAACCCTCAGACTCTGTCCCCTTTTGAATGGTACTATGAAACCCGAAGACGGTGCACCCAATCATGGTGGATTTGGTGCTATTCAAGCACCACCAGCTTTTGGTTAGCTCGTGGAACAAAATTGCGTTGGTGAGCAGAAGATCGATGTTCTCAACGCCTCCGCTTTCTATTTACGCATCGTACCACCTTAGGCCCTCAATATACGGAAAATTCTCACGAGGAGCATCGCGCAAGCTTTCCTATTTGCCGCATCTACATTGGTTTACTCTGATTATTCCCTTTGACGACTTATTGCAAGGGTTGGGGTTGATTTTGAAATTTTGAAGGAACCCGAAGAGATCCTCTTGACAAATTGAAACAATTACATGGACGATTACAGATCAAATGAAAATGGGTCTCTACCTCAACATACCCACTCGAAAACCTTGAACGGAAAACATGGTGGAGGATCCGACAGAAAGATCTAGCCTTGTTGCTAAGTCTGGGCTGATTCTGGAATTTCTTGGCGAGAGAAGAGAATGCGAGGCATAGAGTCTCTTGTTGATATTTTTCGTACGATATTGGTCCGAAGACCGTTCACACCATTGCCGTTGCCACTGCCACTCAACTAGCAGAACTTACTCCGTCCAACAAGGGACATCCAAGTTTACTTGATAGGACTATTGGAACCGTTGGGTGGATCGAGGGCGGTTAATTGTACAAATCCGGATGGCATACGATCCACAATACGATGTGCATTAGAGGCCGAGGGTGGTTTTATATTTCTTTCTTTCTTTCTTTCCTAACTGAATTTCTCTTTCTTGTAACCGCAGGAGGAACATCGGTTGGGTTCTTTTAACATATCGGTGGTTTACTCTCACGAACAGGTAATGGTTGGCGTCTACTCAGGCTAGGTTATGGCAGGGAGTATGGAGTTTCCAAAATGGTGGTTAAATGGATCGGGCCTGCATAGCGCGGTACAACATGGGAGGTAACATTTGACGAGGATTTGGTTTATACGATTAATAGGGATGGAGGGACAAAATTTTATGCTTTTCTCGAGACTTGCCCTACGCATCTTGATTCTGCGAATGATACTGTTTGTGCCAGTATTCTGGTCGTAGTTCACGCGGCATGAGGGCATAATGGTATGTTAGGCAGGGGAGAGCTGCACATATTAAAATAGGAAGATGGTTACGCTACTTTATCTTAGATAGATACCACCAGAATTCAAAAAATTGATGGTGACTTTATAGTTTCCACGTGCGATTTGGTACATTCTTGAACTACCTACCTATGCAATATTGTAATTTGTGTCAGGTCATGGATAGTCAGTGTAAACTTTCGTAACAAAATCGTGGTATTCACATGTAGTTGGTTGGAAGAGAAAAATGCTCGGAATGATTACAGATTTGTATATATTTTTTTATTCATAATTTTTGAGATGGCAACACTTCTACTTTATACACGTATCCAAGCCCGTTCCGCTCATTACACGACTGCCCGGCCCGGCACTCTTCACTCTTCTGCGTTGAGCCTCGCTTGCAGTCTACAGAATCTAAAGGTAGTGCTGCGCTCTAATGTTGTAGATATCTACCTACGCTTGCACGCCGCAGGTGCAGTATCCCGAGGATATGTGTGGATCGTTAGGAAGAGAAAGAGGAAGAGGAAGAGGAAGAAAAAATCTGTGTGTGTGTGTGTTTTGTATCTTTTATGAGATAAGATAAGCTGTTTGATACTTTTGTAGGTAGGAGGAGAGGAAATTTTGAGTGGATGGGCGGGGAAGGGTTTGGTTGTGTTGTGTTGTGTTGTGGTGTGGTGGTGTGGTGAGATGGTATGATGTGTAATGTGAGGGAAGAGGAGTGCTAGACTTAGTTGTGTGTTGATTGCACGGGTAGGTAATAGATGGTTGCTTATAGTATGTGAAGATTGGTTGGGTGGGAGTCTAGATGTTGGGGTCGGGAGCGTGGTTGTGGTTGTGGTCAAAGGGGGATTGGGTGTAGGTTAGTTGGAACACGGAACGATTATTAGGAAGATGATGTTGAAGGAATGCGGGTTGGCTCTGGGCATTTTGTAGCGACGGATGGTGTGTTGGATGATAGGGTTGGGGGAGAGAAGGATTAATCTGCGTACAAAATATTTGGAGGCGATTTGTAAGAATAGAGTAAGTCTTTGAAGACATGAAATGATGAGACTGCAGTGACATACACTGGTCTAGCGGCAAGAAGAGCAAACGAGACCAGATGACACCCATCAAAACAAATGCAATTTACATGTTGGTAGAACTACAGAAACCGAGTGACGCGGTATGTGGCGTGGAAAAGTTGATTCTGACGACGTCAAACGGACATTATCCTAGAGCAAAGTCAATAACGAAAAGGCAAAGTTAAAGTCAAGTTCTTAGCTCAGACGATAGAAGGTAAAGAATGTATGGACTAGACCAATATCAATACACGGTTTCGAGAAGATGCCATAAAAAGTGTGGATGATGCTTTGCTCTTGAGATAAGGGCTTCCTCACTGAAAAGGTAGGCAGTGAGGTTGTCACATCTTCTCGTATCATCTAGGGTATAACTTGAAGGCTCCAGTAATTTGAGCGCAACAAGACGATCCACAAATGCTACTCCACATCTTCGCGTGGGCTGATCAGTCTCATAATCAAACAACTCAGGAGTAAGATTGAGTTCGTTCGCAAAAACGTTAATACTCAAAGGACATGACACGAAACGAAGTAGGAGATGATCGAATGAGAAAACAGAGAAGTGCAAATTGCGAAAAACAAAAACATGAAACAAAAGAGGAAAATAGAGATGGTCGGGCCCTTACATCAGATTTTAGTTCCCGTAAGAAAGTATGGAAGGGGCCATAAATTGATGCCGGATGGGAGAAGAAGTAGTCTGCATGAGAGGCGTATCAAATTGGTTTGAGGGGGGAGATATCTACCACCTTGCAGTGGGCAAGGAAGGAACAAGAGTTTCAAAATCGCAAATAGTAACTCCTTTTGCCGAGATTGATACAAAGGAATCAAAGGGAAGTATAACAGTACTTCATATGGAGTGATGGCTGGATAAAGGTTTCGCGACCCTTGATCATGAGAAGCTAAGCGCAATAAAAGAAACGGAAAATAGGAAATATACAATGTTATTCACCGGTTTTGTGGTACTCTCCGCCAGTATTGATGTAAATACCCAGTCGATAATTGGAAGCCAAAGGGATGCATGGAGGCATCGACACACATTTTCTCGGCCACCGGGCAAGCGCAAGAAACAACATGCTATTCTAAAGTAGAGTTTCCTGGTTGCTGGCCAACTGAACAGATTGACCATGGATGTCTATTTGCGGGTGTCATCACCCTGGCTATAGATCCAGTTGCACCCTGAGGAACAGATGAGAGGTTTAGATAGTATATAGCAATATGTGATCTTGATCTAACAAGATAGGCAAAGCGATAACTTTGCAAGAGAATACGAGATCAAAATAGATGTATAGACGCATAGTAAGAACTCCACCTACCCATCAAACGGTACTTGATAAGGTTAGAAGCTTTTGAGTTCATACGATCTTTGTAGATGCCGAGACTGAAGCTCTTCAGACCCAGCAAATCTAATGAACGATCACGGTCTAGACTTTGCGCCGTGCGTATGTATGCAGCATGCGGCCACTCGATTGTGATAGCATCGACAGAAAAGAATAGACGACGAGGCGGCTCCGCAGATTCAAGGCTGTTGTCGGACATGTAAGTGATCCGTGTATGTTGGCGCGCGGAAGATCCAGATATGCGCGAGGTGCGACCCGTTTGGTTCTATTTTCTGACCCTTTCTGACCACGCTGGCTTCGTCGAGTGCAGTCTTCCGGAGTAGGATGTCGAAATAGAATAGCAGTCAGCATGTTTACTTACATTGTACTACATTACATGGCTGTGAGATATTGATGTCTGATTTGATCTTTGCACTGCCATTATATTGAACCAAAAACATGATATACTCAGCCATTTCTGAGTTGTGAGTCTTAGCTTTGATGGGAAGCAAGCAATGGTCCAGTCAGTGGGTAGAATAGGCGCGCATGTTTGTGTGTGGTTGGGGTCAGGTAATCATCGATTGTTTTGGCTTTTGGAAGTGGACATGGTTTGTGATATATTTAGAATATCTTGCATTAACCCTCGCTGACCGGATGGCTTGTTGTGTATTTCCCCAATTTGTACAACGAGCCGTCTGCCGTGCCGTGCAGTACAGTACAGTGCATCCATTCTCCATTGAAGATGAACAGAATTTCGATCTCCCGGTCGTCTCTCGTACTCAAGTGGTGAGATGATAAAAAATGAAACGACATAGTAAGAAAAAGGAAGCAAGTAGAAATTTAAAGAATATATGGAAATAGTCGTTTGAGGAATTTGTCCCAATATAATTAGGTAGGTGGGTGGTGTGTACTAGTTAGGTACGTAAGGTTGCGTTCATGTTCCATAAATTTGGAAAATCATATGATGCATATTAATGACTAGGTAGGTAAGAGGTAATATCATAATATGTAAGTTTATCTTCAACCTCATCTATATGTAATGTGGTGATATCAGTGATCAATCAATCCTGTCTAATCATTATCGTTGGATCCTTAGCTGTTCGAACTAGATGAGACGGAAATTGTCCGTTCCTATATGGATTACATCTAAAGGTCGCCATTTTAATCCTCCTACAGAGATGGAATGTCATCGTTATCCGGGATTCTCGGTCAGGAAATGTATAATGGAGACCTTTCTGGGGGAGTTCCATGATCCATTCCACCGATGTAATGTGACATGACAGGATTTTCCAAAGTTGTGTTGATATGTTATGATGGATCATGGAGGTAATAGCTTGGACGTAACAGGATCTGCAGTACTACGAGATGGGTATGTTCCGACCCCGAGAAAGATTAATATACGGATTAATATATTCCTCTAATATATTCCTATGTTGGATCTGGCCATGGCGTTCGCTGTCTTCTGATGATTAAACTTTCCTTTGAAGTTGCTTGTCAGGTGGGTAGGTATGATCGTCCCCCATTTTTGAATTGTAGTTCCCGTTGATGATTGTCATTGATTACAACAGGTTGTCTCCATAATCATCTACCGACTCTGACGAACGAGAGAAGGAAGTTATGATATGAGATGAGGTACCTTGCAGAGATGATCTCTCACTGGCAAATGCACGTAAGACTTCATCCTACGGCAAACATCGCTTGGAAGCTCTCGATAGGTAGCCTGAGGTGGTCATTTTGGTGTTAGAAAATGATAGGCATTGGAGATTGACCGATAAGCAAATCAAAGAAACTGGAAATTCGGTGGTTCGATTTATCGTCTCCATACAGATCCCACATTTCAATATTTTTAATGTACGGCGAGAGGGGGAGGAAGTGGACAAGGGTAATCGGTACAAATCCTCAATCTAGTAGGATGGCCGTGACAATTTACAATTTGTAGTTTACGAATAGGATCATTGAATTGGCCAACTGTTGAATGAAGTTCTGATGATCCAAAGCAATCTGAAGCTATGGTGAAGCGAAGATTGAACTGACTACTCACGCCTTGAAGATGTTACAAACGTTGCATTCATGCATCCATGTCGATGACAATAGAAGGATCAAATAGAATATTACACACGTGCAACTGACAATGCAAGCGAGTAGCGAGTAGCGAGTAGCAAGTAGTAGATAGTGAGCAGTGAGCAGTGAGCAGTGAGCAGTGAGCAGCAAGCAGCGCAAGCTTAAGCTGCAGTACCTGCGTTCCCGAGATGAATACAAGAATAGAAACCGCCCGATTAGGGTTCTCCGCACGAATGTATGTACGGAGTATCTACGATATGCACGGGACACGCAAATGCCAGGTGGATGGTTGATATGCCGGGACCTTCACATAATATTGGTTATTGTGGATGTTTCTCTCTTTTCGCTTTTCACCATGAAGGGGAATAGATGAAGTGGGAGCCAATTACCATAAACACAACCAGATTCACAAGGCACATGAAGGCACATCAATATTACTAGGTACTTAATGTTCCGTACCTAGTAGTCAGTTGAAATGCACCGACCTGATGCAACACCAAGCAAACAGATGCATGTATTCAAGTGATCACGCTGGTTTCCTCTCATTCTGGCTCCTGATTGGCTATCTTTGGGAAGAAAAAGGCCAGTAATATTCCCTCAAGCAAGTTAATTTGCCCAGATTCTTTATGAGATTAAATGAGCTGCATTAGGATCTATTTATGGACATTCTCCTCTGTGGTTGTACCTTCCCTTCATCTCTTGGCACCCTTTTTACATGGAAAAAGCTGATTGATCTTATGTTTCCAATGTGTCAGCATGTGAATCCTGGATACATCTTCAAGGTTCAAGACATCGTTTAGGGCTTGTTCAACCAGTCGGGATTTAAAGATGATGCAAAGCTGTGCTTGCTCGGCCACTCATGACCAGCCTGGAATTTGGGAAACATCGTATTTTACACATGCTTCTCGGGCGCTTAGGAAGGACTTGAGAGAGGAGTGATCATAGGAGAGCAACGTATGGAAAGGCGACCGAGAGCTCCCTGGTCATCTTCCTGCTGCACAGTGCACAATTCATATCGACAGGGTGAAAGGAGGCTTGAGCTTAGCTTGAAAGGACAAACGACTGCGAGGTTGAGTACCGTGCCTACAAAGGTAAGTAAGTATCCTTGCGGGTCAGTCGTTGGTATCATCATGGTTGCACATGGAAGCAGACGGTATCTCGGTTCGAAGTTGAATGAGGCTTTTCATATCTAAGGTCACCAAGTATACTGCAGTATGGATGGATGGATTTGTCTTTGAATGTGCTGGGTAAATAGGTAATATGAGTTTCAAGGATCGGATTGGAATTGAATTGTAAGATTATATTCACATACTCGGCTAGGAAATGCGTGATGAATTGCCTCTTCGGTCGTAGTGTGCTGCTGTCTCTGGATTGTGTGTTATAGATGTAGGTATAGATCTAGATATAGATGAATGGTACCTACTATCTCCGAATCTTGCATGAAAACGGTTTTGGGAAGTTCACAGAGGGTAGAAAAGGGTATAGAAGTTGAAGCTTATCGATCGCGAGTAGTGAGTGTATGGTACCTACGTGTACCGCATGCACATGTAGGTAATAACTATCAGTTTTCAAGCATCAAATATCATCAATACCCTCAATGATGTAGAGTAGATCGAACCCCTCCCCTCATTGACCGGGAAGGTCTTGAGCATTGATAACCAAATCTCGACATCCAAGTGTATCAACCCAACTCATTCGAATCCAACTACCGCGGGAGGTAATTTCCGCGCCCGCCCAAACATCGCACCCTGTAACTCGTTTGAGTGATGGTAAGTTGTGCGTGAGTACCGTAGTGCATCAGATGTATGGGGATTCATTAATTCATTACGAATTAGAACCAATTGGGAGCTCCCAAGAGACCTAGTATGAGTGAGCGGGCCATTGATGAATCAATTCTCACGCTTCTACGAGTAATACCTACCTAGTAATACCGTACAGAGAAGAGGTAGCAGGAAATGACAACGAAGATGTCTACTTTGGATAGGTACAGGATTATGTATGTGGGCAGGTTTTACTGAATGAGATATCAATACAATACAATGAATGCAATGCCATTCCTACATTGACATCTTAGACTCTAGTATGATTATCTCGAGTCCTCTTTTCTAACTTGTATCTGTAGCTATATCTATATACATCAGACATTAGACACTAGATATTAGACATCAATTCTTTCATTCAACCACTTGGTCAACTACTTATTCAATTATCTACTACCACTACCAGCTGATTAACCAACGCAAAGGGCAAGCAGGCATCATGATCAACACCTACCTGTCAGAGAATCTACTCTACCAAGCCCGCCTTATCTATCCAGAATCTACTCGACTACAGATATATCGTACCTACCTAATAGGTCAAAGGACGAATCAATCTTTACCAAGATGAGCAAAATCAAAAGCAACACAAGAAAGGAAAGAAAAGAATACTAACAATGACTTCAACCAAGCCCCTTGTCTATCTCCTGTTCTACGTCTGCGGATACGTATTAAGAAAATACGATCACTTATGTAGACGGATGGATTATATGGATTATATGAATTATATTCTTCCTATTGCAGTTTAGTCAATAAATCTCAATATTTTCAATAGAATGAAAAGAATCATCCATTATCCATTATCCATTATCCATTAATCCATTAATCCCAAAAATTAAAAGACAAGGTTTAAGAAGAAAATTCCCTTTTTCCCTTTTCTCTCTCCTTTCAGATTTTGATCTTTTTGGTACCTACCACCTGCACCCTTCATACATTTTTCCCTTTCCCCCCTTCCCCCCCTCCCCCCTTCCATCATTTATTATATCACGATCCAAAAATATCTATATTTAGTATCTCATCGCGATATACTTTATCAGTCCTATCTATCAGTTGTACTTCAAAAGGATTCTCGAGAAAAAAATTAAAGAGTAACCTCATCTCCTACTTTGACTTGGGCATTTCTTTGAAGACGCTTGACCCAGACCTATATCATTGATCCAACTCCTCCTCTCTTCAAGAAGATATCTTTCTCTCAAATCAAGCTTGTCCAGTTTTTTGGTTCAAAGAGGTGTCTTTTCTTCACGGGCTGTATCACTATTTGCGTGCGGGTGTTTCGAGTTTTCTTCGCGCTTCTTCAATTGCCTGGAGCAAAAGCAAGAAAAGTTACCATCAAATCAGATCAAATCATATCAAATCACATCAACTTGTTAACGCATCTTTTTTCTCGTCACATACATACATACGTCTGTCTGTCTTGTCAAAGGGAACAACTCGGTCGCAACCTTATTGACGAGCCCCTTCATCAGCTCGACATCTACTTTTTTGTCACAGTTTTATATATCGACATTTAACGACCACGACCAAAGTACATCTAAAGACGCATCCCACGTCAGACATATTACTCCGCCGCTATTCACACAATCGATTACTGTATTCATTTGTGCCGCTCAATTTGCTGCTATTGTATTCAAAAATTCACATTAAATTTCGCTTCCTTTATCCCCTCAATATCATTCATTGATGACCACGATCCTACGCGACTTTTACAATCTGCGAGTTTTACTTCGAATAGGTCGTCTCAACTACACGTCTTAAGCTGGACCAATTCACGCAATCGAATTTCGTACCACAAGAACGGCGCGCCTCTGCCGCAATGGGGAGAAGAAAGATTGAGATCAAGGCTATCAAGGATGATAGGAATCGTTCAGTGTATGTTCTCTTTGTGCGAATATGATCCGCGGCGCAAAATGCTAACACCCTTCTTCCAGGACCTTTTTGAAGCGCAAAGGGGGTTTGTTCAAGAAGGCGCATGAGCTTTCCGTTCTCTGTAACGTCGATGTCGCGGTTATAATATTTGGCAGCAATAAGAAATTATACGAATATTCTAGTGGTGATATTGGAGAGTTTATGACAAGATATCAATACGTACGTGTTCTACCGCGTCTGGCGCAAGGGTTACAAACTGACATTAAATGTAGTATGGAGGAGCCAACGAACACAAAGGGCCTGCCGACTATTCGGGCAAAGGAAAGGGGATGGATGATGACGACGATGACGATGATGGATCTCCGCCTTCCCATCACGGATCAGTTGAACCAATGATGCCTCCTCAATTTCAACACCAACCATATCAACACATCCGCCATCATACTCCATCTGCCTCGCCTCCAATTCCAAATGGTGTCTTTCCACATCTTCAACAGCAACAACGGCAACATACGCCACAACCTGGAATGGGATCCCGTCCATCATCTAGAAATGCTCCACGAAGACAAAGCTCCCTTGTACCGCAGCATCCTCATGGCCCTCCTACCAACGGACAGTTCGTGTATGCGCCAAATCCATCACCTTACAACCCCCAAATGACACCTGGTCTGCCACCACACGCGCATGGGCTTCCGCAGCACATACAAGGCCCCCCGCAAGGGATTCCTCATCCACATCAAAGTCCGGGATCACAATACACACACTTTGCACCGCAGCAGCACCCGCAACACCTCTCTCAACACCCTCAACAGCATATGCAACAGCATCCACAACATCCTCAGCAACATCCCCATCAACATCCCCAGCAGCATCCTCAACAGCATCCTCAACAGCTACATCCACAACAGCATCCACAGCAACTGCCTCAACATCCTCACCCACAGCAGGTACAGCAGCTATACGTGGAGGAGCAAAGAAGGTCTTCGGGACCGCCACCATTCCCACCACAGGAAAGGCCTGCATCCTCACGCGCAACTACTTCTCCTCCACAACCGCCGCAACAACAAATGCCGCAACCTCCACCGCAACCGCAGCCGCCTCAACCATCACCAGAACAGCAGCAAACACAATCACAATCGCAGATGCCAGACCCGGTCAAGCGTTTAGCTGGAAAATCTAGAAGTATTTTCACGCCAATTGATGAGAGCCGATCGATCCTGTCCCAGCACTGGGCAAGCTCAACTTCCAATACTGATACCGTAAAGGAAGAACCCACTGATCGATCCCAATCCGTAGATGTTACAGTAAATCGTATAAAGCCACCCTCGCCACCTCAGAGATCACAAACGCATAACAAAAATCGGAAAATATCCATGTCATCCTTACCAGATGGGTTCACGCCACCATCTCGTACGAACAGTGCTCAGTTGAGTGTTGGTGGTGGTAAGAGGCCTGTATTGAAAGTGCAGATTCCGGAAGAGGCATCGGACAACGGTGGATCTGCCACTGCGGAAGATCTCTCTTCCCCAAGATCTGCGAGTGCCGCCAATCCTCAGGCGCGTCGCAATGGCGGTGATCATGGCGGAATGGTACTACCACCACCTTCGCCTTCCGCCTCGGCTCTATTGTCAGCCGGCGCATCGGGGCCACCTAATCCTTTTGCAAGACCGCATCCTGTTACACAACCTTCTCAAGGATCCAATGCAAGCGGGAATAACAGCAACTCGAACAACAGTATAATAGAAAACGTGACACCGGTCTCAGCTCTTCCATCGCGATTCATGAACAACGAATTCCTCCCTAGTCCTTCGTCATTCTTTGGGAATCCCAGTTGGGATTACGGTAGAGGTGGTGACTCGAACACATTACCTAGTCCGCTAAACTTTGCAACTCCTGTTGTGGGCACAGGTCCAAGTTTTCTAAGAGACGATAATGGTGAAAGGGGCGGTAAACGAAAGACCCCTGATCAAGATGAACACCTAGAAAGTGGAGATCAAAAAAGAGCGAAGCATGAAGGATAACTTTGGCCCCCTTCATGGGAAGGGTTTGGAGCATGAATTGCTATGGATATGAACTTCACGAACACGGGTATTTGGTTGTGGGAAATCTATAAAAAAAGATAATGTCTTTCTTGTGGGCGGAACAGAACTCGTCTCAAATTTCTTGAAAATGGCCTATTGCATTATATTTTGGGAACGGCGTTTCTTCTTTTTTTCTTCTGTGATACACTTTTTTTTGTTTTTTTTTGTTTTTTGGGGGCCGTTTTTACTTATTTACCCATGAGAAGATTTTATCATTTTCTATTCATGCATTCTTACTGCAACCGCCATCCATTGTTTCATTCCAAAGGCTTTCAGAAATTGCTTATATCTATGATGCGAGGTTTGACTTCTGACTTCGATCATGTGAGATGGCACTGGATGGCAGAGTTAGCATTCTATTCCTTTGTAAATACCCTTCGAATTTGTGGAGGGGGCATTCTTTGCGTGGTGGATTGTCTTTTTTGTTTGTTTGTCGGTTTTAGGTAGGGGTTGTGCTTAGAGAACAAAGGGTGGCTTGTGATGAAGTAGTTAAATTGGAGCTTCCGTAGTTGGGTGAGGGACGGGAATGTAAGAATTGGTTGTAGAAAAGTAAGATAGTCGAGATTACGATATAGGTAGGGAGATAAATGAGAAGACAATTGATTAAAAAAAAATAGTGATGAGATGCTGTACTTCTTTTCTTTTTATACTACATTGATTGATATTCTTGTTGATTCTGATGGGATGCAGTATCTCCCTCATTAGGCTACGATGTCAAACAATCTTTCATTGATTGTGCGAAATTGTCCCATGTCGACATTCATATTGTCCTCCTTTAGCGGCCTAAATACCAAGAAAATCTATTTTCATCAATCCGAGCCTTCCAACCCAGCTGTACATGCAGACGCCCTCCTCCAAATGGACACTCGAGCACACAACTCTCATCTATCAATCCAAACACCTAGCCACTAAAACAAACGCACCGTCAAGCCCGACCCCGCATCGATAATCAACGTTGCGCCCGTGATATATGTCGCAGCGGGACTGCACAGAAAATGAATGGCGTCGGCTACCTCGTCGGGCTGCGCCACGCGCTTCAGCGGCACGACGGCTTGCACCATGTGCTCGAAGTGCGGGTTGCGAGCTGCTTCGTGCGTGTTCATGGGGCCGGCTACCCAGGTCGGACAGATGGCGTTGATGCGGATGCCGCGGGGGGCGTAGTCGACTGCTGTTTGGGGGTTAGTTTTGTTCGGTTGTGAAATGTATTGAGACTTATGTAAAGATAGGTTCACATACTTCCGGATTTCGTGATCCCAACCACGGCATGTTTCGCAGTGGTGTAGGCTGTTTTCCCGGGAAACGCGACGACGGAATTTGCGGACCCGAGATTCACGATGCACCCGCGGCCCAGCGAGCGCTCGGTGTAGCGGCCTTGGTGGGAGACCGGTTCTTGCAGGAGCATGGCGCGAGCGATGGCGCGGTTGCAGAGGAGCGTGCTGCGCGTGTTGGTGTTGAGGATGTGGTCGAATTCGGAGAGGGGGAGGGTGTGCTGGTGCCGATCTGGTGGGGGGAGGGGGGGTGTTAGTGTTAGTGTGGAGGGGGAGTGGGAGTGGGGTTCTATGGGGGTGAAGGGAATGGGAATGGAATCGAAAATGAGGATGAGACATACACCAGCGCTGTGCACGTAATAATCTATACGGCCGAATTCCTGGATAGCTGTATCAACCATCTTCTGCACGCTTTCCTCGTCTGTCACGTCAAGGTGTATAGAGAGGATGCGACAGGCTGGGTTGGACGCGTAGGATTTACATTTTTGCGCGGCGGTTTGAGCGGAGGAGAGAGAGAGGTCTGCGAGGAGGATACCGGAGGCGCCGGATTCGGCGAAAGAGATACAAGTGTTTTTGCCGATGCTGCCGCCGGCCTGGAGAGGGTGGGAGTGGAGGGCAGGAGGGGTTGGTGAGGGGAAGAAGGGGTGTTTGATGGGTTGGTAGGTACGTACTCCGGTGATGACGGCATAGCCGCTGGTAGTTTTGGATGTCATGCTGAGGTTATGTGTGGTGGAGAGGCGAGAGGGGAAAGGATGGGATATATAGGAGAATGGTTGAAAGGGATGAAGAAAAATGTGGCAAGGAGAATCTACAGAGAGAAGATAATGTGCACGAGATTGAGAACAGTGCTTTTATATCGCAAGGGAACAGTTTGCGGCGCTCATGTCTCTATGTGTAATGAAGCAGTAGTGCGGTTGTTGGATTTTTGGCATCGAGTTGGTTTGATGTGGAGGGGGAACAACTGTTTGGAGAGAGACGGGGGGAATGGTTTGGGTTGGAGATGGGTTAGCTTATGTGGTTGATGCGATAGATGGGTAGGTTTGAATGGGTGTGGGAATGGAAATGGAGGCATCCAACATGAATATTTAGAGGGGAGACAGAGTGTATGTGTGATCGAAAGAGCTGAATGTTCTCCTATCCGCATCTATCTATCATGATGATATCATATCATCACATTACGTCTTGAGTACTACATAGACACCTCACCAAAAGATACCAGAAATACATTTTGATTCTCAGACGTGATCCAACTCGATCTCTATGCATCCTAATCTCATCATGAACTTTACACGAACGAAATACACGTTAACTAGGTAGGTAGCCATCAGATCATACGACTCCACATATTTCTCTGCATAGCTATCCAACAAACAATACAAGTAGCAGCGTGCGCGGCACGTACATATCGATAATACAATAGTGCGTTTTCAGAGTACCAGACTAAAATATTACGGTGGAGGTTGCAACAGTTGGTCTGCGGATCCATTTTGTTTTTGTTTTTGTTTGTGAGTTTGTTGGGTGGGTTGATCTGACGATAGGGTATCTGAGAATTTTGGGTTTGCTGCGGGAATGATGGATTGGAGAGTGGATGGGAGGAGGGAAAGATTTCGGGATGGTGTTTTTTTTGGGGGGGGGGGGGGGGGTGGAAGATAGAAAGTGTTGTTGAGGCGTATGGTGGTGGATTTTGAGATCGTGTTTGTGTAGGAAGACTCTTCCGGATAATATCACATTTGCTAGCAAAGTAATTCCAACATTTACTTCCACAACAACAAGGTCGTTCTGGAATGCCCAGACATTACAAATGCATCAAGGTTATGCCGTTTCCCTTTGGATATCGATAATCGATAACCTCGAGATATTCATAGATGGAGAATCTAATTTCTCATCCTGCCTACCCACAACTAGCGTTCATGAAGTCGAATCAATACATAGTATACTTGACTCATACTCACATTCGCTATTGTCTCCGCAACAATTCTCAATAGCTTTGGTAGCGAGGAATGTGCAGTCAAGTATCCTCGAGGACTTATTTCATGTCAGAGATCCAAAGTTTCCGATGTGGTTGTATCCAATGCACTAGGAAACTTAGCAATCATTCTCCCTTGGTCTGTGGAAGCTTGCTAGCGTAAATATTAAATTGTTTGCACTTACATTCTGAGATGCAAAATCTACGGTATGTTTGACATCAAGAGGATTCATATAGTACATGACATTGTCTTTGAGGTGGGTAGTGTCTTCTATGGCACTGCTCCTACCTAACATGATTAGGGATTGGGATAGAAATATCTAGTGAGTACTATAGTTTCCAGTGCAGACTGACTGGTGATTCTTTGCAGGAGAATTGCTGTATATGTGCTTTTACGGAAGCTGAAGCGCAAGAAAATTCCTTTCTCCCCCTCCCCTCTTTCCATCCTATGGCCTAGGCGAAAAGACTAAATTCTCTCAACTTTCAAAGAATCTTCAAACTTTCTATGTAGCCTTTAGAAACCATTATTCTGCTTCTCCTTTGTTTGGGAGAGAAGGGGAGGGGAAACTCAAGCGCTGGTACGCTTTCCATACAGGTCGCTTGACACATATGTCAACGAGGGAAATGATACGAGCATTGATATGACTCATATGTGACATCTGAGCCTTTTGCATAGGCGTAGACTCCTGATGATGTCTGGGGCGTAGTGAGGCACTGTCCTTCAGCCTATGGTATGATTACCTTTCATCCTATTTTTTGTATCCCAAGTTTACCATCCTTTCATTGAAGAGAGATCAAATTCATAACCCCTTGGCTCATCCCAAAACCGGTGCATTCCACTTTTCAAGTCCTCAGCTTCTGCGAATTCGTCTGTCTCTCTAAGACAATCGCTTGTTTAATCATAGATGTCGCAGACATCAACGATGATAGGTACCCACATACTAAAATACATCGCAATTTCAATTCACAATAGTGAGTAACGTCCATATAATCTGATATTGTGGCAGATGATTGACTCTCAATAGTGTGATCCGCCTTTGGAAGCTGGAGGTAGACTACCGCCCTTCACTATCCTCGAGTGACAGCCACTTTTCTCAACGGGGCTCTTCTATCAATGCTAGGCTACTGTATAGCTTGGTATTTTTACATGTAGATTCGTAAAACGGCATGATTCTCGAGTAGGTTTCGCAAATAATGACACTGTGTTCGACCCAGTGGCGGAGCTTTGGTAATCTTTGGTTCTGTTTTGATGTATCAGTCTTACGAATAGAATGGACTACAGTAACTCATGACTAACACCATATCAGAGGTTCAGCATCGTTCAAGATATTGGTAGTAAGAATTTATAGGCATGCTATCCTTATTGATTTTGAATTTGGTGCATTTCCTCGGAAAATCTTTGCTGTATCACAAGCTCTTGTTTCGCACAGGAAATTTCAAATGTTGTGAAGAAGACAGACAGTTTCATCCACCAGTGAAAAGTCTCCGGTTTTGACTGACTGGACATGGAACAATCCACAGCCATCAACCTATCTCTGGCAAAAGATGCAACAATTTCCGGAAATGAAGCGATCAAGAAACTTTCCAATCTTCTGCCTACTTTGAGAAAATCTATAGTTCGAGATATGGTAACCGACACTGATAGCGCTTATACTACGAATCACTAGATTCTATAAAAAGAAAGAGAGCAGCGGCAATGATAGTTGATGCAATTAATTAAGCCTGCATCGACGTTATTGCTGTCGGAGATTTGACATTACTCTTTCTTTTTCTTCCTGTAAGTCATATTCGAACCCAATTAAACATATAGAAAATGATTTTTTTTGGTACGAGCAAATGACTCGTGGATTGGCTACGAGTGAAAATATAGTGGTCAATAGGATCGTCCATCAAAAGCAATGAATGTCTGACAAAAGCAAGCTAGCCATTCCAAGACCAAATCACTAAATGCATTGTCCATGCCACGGTGTAGAGCAACAGCTTTCGGAGGCTTGACAATCAACACATGCAACAAGGGGAAACATTTAACTTTAATGTGCCTAGGTGTTGAAGCCAGATTGGAATATCGTTAGCCTCAAATGTAATGTCCACGGTGTGGCTCAAGTGTAGCATTCTGACCTTTGATCAATGCATCGCTTGGGTTTGAAACAATGTGAATAAATCTATACTCGATTTATCTTCAAGTGTGAATTCATCTCCACTCACGCCAATATTTGAAAGTCCTTTTTGAAGCTTGAAGAATTCCGTCGGAGAGAGAACGGAACCCAAAACCAATGCACCAGTACGAATGAAGATTCCCTTGGACTCTCTCATTACCTTGCAACCCAATTTTCAGATCATGTGACCAAAAAGAAGATGGCTCCAGGAGAAACCTTATAAGGAAGTCAATTGTTCCTTACTTTAGCGTAGTACGGTGTGAATTGGTGCCAAGTCGGATCTCCCCAAATAAGCTTCTTTAGCTGCTCTAGTCATGCTTATCACATTTGACTAGTCGGGACGAGCCGACTCACAGGCCTTTAGACTCAGGTACAGGCGAAATGCCGATGCACCAAGTGCTGATGTGAGTTCAAAGCGAAGGCGGGAGCTGCAAAGTCGAATGCTCAGGGAAAAGCATGCTGAACGAAAAGCAATAGTCACGATGAAACAAAATTCATCTAACGTTAGTTGGCGCAGGAAGGTTCTCGAGTCTATTTTAGATAGTGGCTTGTAGCTGAATGGCCAACGAGCTCGATTGTCCCGGGAAGGTGCAGGAGTTGCACATCCATCTGTGCTACAGTTCACGAGAATTCGATACTTGGGAAACTTTCCGGAAATTATGGATTCAGCATTTGTATCTCGTGGGTACTTAATCCTTCGTCCTCACCTCCATCTCAATTCTTCACTTCATCAACATTCATTCCATCAACACTCACTTCATTAACATCCTCTCAATTTTCAATTAATATCAAAAACCATCACCATGCAGATTCCAGCAGTTCTTCTCACCCTCGCTCTCCTCCCAGGAGCCTTGTCCTGGTCTCCATTCGCTTCCTCGTACAACCCTAAATCAGCACAATACGTTTACTCGCCCATTGAGCAAATCCGTTACACACTCGCTTTCGAGACCTTTATCCTCGATTCGAAGAACTGGACTGCCTTAGAATTTGTATACACGGAAGATGCTATTGCGAACTTCACTGGTTTAGGAGCCGAACTTTGTATGTTATTTTCTTGTTTTCACGCAGAGCTTTCAAATCCCCTCGAAAGCAAAATTTGGGGCTTCTTTCTTCTCATCGAATATTGTTCATGGTGGACAAGATAAGATTATAGAAAGAGATAGCCATGATTTTTGGGGGGCATAGAAGCATATGAACAGAGGAAGAATTGACAAAAGAGCTAACAATTATTCAAAGGGATCGGAAGAGAAGACATTATCACCAACGAGAAAAAGGGCTTAGACCACGTTGCAAATGGTGTTCATCAGTTGACAAGTAGTGCTATCTTGATCAACCAGGCAAACTGTAGCGAGGCTCACGTTACAACCTAGTATGTATTGCCCTTCTTTCTGATGTATCTTGCCACTGACAAATTCAACAGCATCACATTCAACCACTTCGACACCAACACGGAAGGGACACAAACACATGTTTTCTCCGCATGGTTCAAATTCGAAGATGATTTCGTTGACACCAAATCCTTCGATGAAACTCCAAGTTCATGGAGAGTACAGAATAGACAGATGGTCTTGGTTGGCGGAGGAGTTGGAGATGATCTTGCCGTTGAGAGACCTTAGATGACGCATGGATATGAGACTAGAGGAAGCAGCAATGTGTGCGTAAAGGGCAACGAAGCTGGTGTTGTGAGATAGAATAGGAGGGATGACGGGATGCAACTAAATTCATGGTGGCAAACGATATCAGCCGATTCGTAATTTTAATATAATACTTTTACATGCATTGGAATGCATCATGCTTTCTCTCACGTGCTTTGGATCCAAGAGCGAATCGTCAAGTCAAGCTTCCGAGGTCAGTCAGAATTAAGAATCAGCAACTTTTACCTGATCTCGTCCGGGCTCGATAGAAGCGAATCGAGTAATTCCCCATATGTATTCCCAGCAACGACGATACAATATCACCAAATCCTAGCATAATCTCGTCAGATATAGTAGGTCGAATGATGCATAGACGAGATTGACGACCCCAAGGCATGGCAACGAGGTTTATACAACAGCGATATTAGACGACACAGTATGGGAAACTTTTCAGCGAGTAGGAAAGATTTCATCCTCCCGCGAAATTCCTCTAAATCCTTGCTCCTATTTCCCAGTTGAATGGAAATAAAAAAATCACGATTCATATGGTCAAACTTCGAGAGCCTTAGACTAAGTGGGTTTATATTGTTTGAAATTCTATCTTGACGACAAATACTCTCTAAATTCTACTCCATCATTATTTCGTATCCAAAGGCTCTTTCTTCTAATATTTCCTTCAATCCTGGTATATGACTTCCTTCCTTTCAAACTCCGATATACTCCTCATCCAGTCTTTACCACATCCGCTTGCCGAAAATTTCGATTCAAAGTTACTAGCATTTGGCAAACACTTGTGGCATAGGTCACAGCACTGTTTTCTCAGATGTTAGCAATAATCCTACAAGCTTCATTTCGCATTCAAATCCCTCCCTCTCCCTATTGACCAAAAGATAACTTACAGCTCATCGTTCAACGCCGCACTATCACATTAACATTGCATCTGCTGCAATCCCAAATTGCCTGGGCATAAGTTTCCTTGGCGTAAGTCCTGTAGTTGATATTCCATCCCTCTTAACTTTCTTTCCCTCTTCATGAACTACAGGTGTCACCTTTTTCGGCGTGAGTCCTATAGCTTGTACCGGTATTGGTGGAGCTTCTTCCCTTTTCACTCCCTTATCCCTATTGTGATCAAACTTTGGGCCCTTATTATGCGTCGCGTAATGTGTCCGCGGATATGGAGATCGCTCTCCTCCCTTCAAAAGATCTAGACGTACGCCGCCTAGCGCCCCGATAATTGATACCAAGGAAAGAAGGCAGACGAGACCAAGTAGTATTTTGGATCTGGAAGGTAACTTTTTGATTCTCGTCAGAAGACTTCGGAAAGAGGTGCTAGTCTTGATGTGCGAAGATTGAACGGAATTTAGAAAGGAGTTCTTCCAGTGCGTAGTCTTGTAGTATATAGGCTTGTGTGGGTCTTCTGAATCGGAGATGATAATTTGAGGTGGGATTTGAGGTTGGTTGTGCGTAGGGAGCGTACTGCCAAGCTGGCGGGAAAAAGTGCGTGCGTGAACCATTGGAAAGGTAGGGAGGGAAAAGAATCAGGTCAGGTAAGTTGTGGTTGTATCAATAGAGAAGAAAATGAAGATAGGATGAACAGCACACAAACCCAACCAAACAAGCTTCAGTTGAAATCAAGCAAAGAAAGGGATGGAAAGGTCTTTTTCATCCGATCTTCAGTCCTAAACATTTGAAAGTCCAGAACCAATCGAACCAATTCATGATGATCCACTAAGATCCAATTTCATTGCAATTCATCATCATATGGAGATCCAAGCTTAAGCTTCTTCCAAATTTATATCCCTTTCAACGATTAGCTCCACAGCCTCCACTTCATCTAACCATTCCGAGCCACTCTGATATTCGTTATCAAGGCGAGCACGGCTATCAGCTTTTTTTCTGAGCCAGGAACATGAAATGATATCCACTTTGATCGATTGCCAAGATTCCTTAAAGGGAGATGGTATGGATTGGGTGTAATTTGAAGCCAGCGTTTCATCAGTTTCTTTACCGCTAAAACGGTTGAAGTACCGGTACCGAGTGATGGATTTGGTTGTGAACGTCTCAGTTTGTATATTAGATAAACCCTGACGAGGCGTAATAGATATGGACAAAAATAGAGCTGGCGATCTTGTGAGATGTCATTGTAGTTTGCGTCGAGTATTGACTGTTGATAGGTTTCCACAGTTCCAAATGAGTTGAAAAACGTTTGGGGGTGCAGCAACATATAGGATAGGAAAGTTCGGTAGTCAAATAGTGACCATGGCCTAATTTAAAGGTAATCTCCACAGGCTTACGACCCCCGTGGCAAACTTAAATTCGAACAAACGCACATGAAATGTTGTCAAATTCAACTTGGGATATATTTGATACTAAAAACAATTGATCGATATCTTCATCAATGCATAGAGAAACTTATTGAGAACATACAGCCATCTTGCGATTGTCCAAATGTAAAAGATTGGAATAGCAAAAATTTTGAGAAACAAAGTACTGGAGGTAGCGGCTATACTACAAATTCAACTTGTTATAATGGGGATATAAGTCCATATAGGTACTAGGTAGTTAGCGAAAGCTTCATTACCATTTGTTGTCATCCAGCAACATCGAAGGAACGAGATGTGACGGAATGGATAGTATCTTTTATTGTCATTATCCACGAGAGCGAAGATTGTACCAACTATTGTTCGAATGCAATCATGTATGTTAGCTTTAGTGAGCATAACATTAACAGTTGGTAGTCGCATTTATCGCATTTATCGCTGTTACATGGTCATGGAATTCCAGAAAAGAGTTAATTCTTACAGCGTTTTCACGCACCCAATTCCAGGCGTACATGAAATTCCAAAATAAGAGAAGTATTGGACTTGCGTGGCTTTTGTGTCCTATTCTGTTCTAGAATCTCAATATGCATCTTACTCGTATTTTGATTCTAAATCACCATCAATACTCGTTCTTGTGTGAAGTGGCCGCTTTGTGGCAATTGAAGTAGGCTTACAAACCGATCTTGACTACCTACTAATCGGGATACATTCTTCAGTCTTCTTTCATCTCATGGAGTTTCCGGATCACAAGAAGCGTTCGAGCTCATCTTCGGTATAATCGAGACAATGTGAGGCTGGACTGAGACCCTTCGTTTACTAATCTCACGAGGAACAATGGAACGTTGCTCACCTCACTGCAACGAATTAGATGAACAGTAACAATTGCACACTGATATTGATAGACTAAAAATTACATAGATGGAAAAGATAATTCTAAGTTCTTTTGCCCTCTATAACCATCAAAAGGTCCAAACCCACTAGCTTTAGAGCGAATATCTACTCGCCAAAAATTCCATTACGTTTGGGCATAAGCGGGCTAGTTATCTTCCCCTGGACAGCTGCCCTCGTATACTGTAGACTGTCCAGTGTCTCACCATACAATAAACCACATAATGCAGACCCCTAAATGAAACCGAGTCCAACCCGCCCAATCGCATCACAACGAATCTATTCATGATGCATTATACCTGGCCATCCTTACATATCCAATCCAGAACTGAAATGAAATAAATTGAACACTGGCCTCATTGTTAGACCGACTTCGTAACGGTAATATAAACAGTGGTCGTCGGTCCACAACCTATGCCACAGGATATAGATGAAGATGAAACTCGAGAGGAAGAAAGCGAAGAAGGTCTGGTGGATGTCGTGGACGAAGTCGTAGAGCCAATCAGAGCAGGTATCCGCGACGATGAAGAAGATTTAGTAGTCGATGTAGAAGTCGAAGGGGTCGAAGATTTCGTTATTACTAATGCGAGGGAAGAGCTCGTCGAAGTGCTTATCAATAACAGGGCGGTGGAAGTTCTAGCTGTTGACGTAGAAGACGAAGAAGAGGATAAAAGGGTAGAGGATCTCGTTGTAAATATTGTGGGGGAAGAGTTGACTGAAGTGGTTCTCGATGAAGAGGAAATTGGAAGGGTAGAAACTCTACCTGTTGATGTAGAGAATAAAGAGGGGGATGGGGAGGTAGATAATCTAACCGTCGACGTAGATGATGAAGTTGTAGAAGTTCTAGTTGTTGAAGTGGCGAGAGGGGACGTCGTTGAAGTAATTATCAATGCAGGAAGGGAGGCAGACGAGGTTGTGGAACCTGAAAAGTTCGAGTTAGTGTTAGCTCATAAAGGTGGAGGAAATGCTGTATTGTAAACTGTCTGCCATCCTGATTGAGAGCGCAAAGTCAAATTGATTACTTACTTCTTGAAGAAAGAGTTGATGAAGAAGATCTGGGTGAAGAAGACAAGATTCCCACTGAAGGAGTTGGATAGACCTTTTTTCATATTAGCATTTTTATTCAAAGCTTTGATATCAATATATTATTGTGAAAGATTGAGACAGCAACCGACCGTGTAAGATGATGTTCCATAAGAAAATGCTGGACTCGGGCAACCTCCTGTCATTGAAGGAACTCCATCGGTACCCGAAGTAATTGGAATAACATTTGATCCGCAACTCGCAGCCTGCGCAATATGAACATTTGCGTTGTCCTGATCAAACACCACATAAGCACCTCTCATGAAGGTATCTCCTAAAATCACATCCGTCTTTTCGGCAGCATTGGCAATGGGCCCATAGCATGTAGCACCATTAAACCATATGAACTGAGCTAATTGGATCCGAATAATTTGCCCTGCGAATCCAAAATCCATCGTCCCTGCGATATTTTTGAAGCTACAAGGAATAGTGTAGAGGCCACCTCCTTTACTGACCCATCCTGGAAAATAAGGGAGCATGGCGTTGACAAGTGAAGGTGGTAAATAACTCAATGTACTTCCGGAGTCAATAATGACGGGTTTCGCATAACCGGGAGATGTCAAATTCGTTGGTAGTTGGCCTGGAAATGTAATACCAAAGTACGTCATATTGATCCAATATCTAATTTCAATACTGTTCAGTAAGACCATTCAATATGCAGGACAAAAGTTAAAAAAAAAGGCAATTACCTTGGATACCCATCAGGACTTTGATAAAATGGTATAATTGGATTTTTTATCAGTGAGCCATAGTACTTTTTTGTATCGAGACCGCCAAAGATAATGGAGCCTATAGAATGAGTCAGCTAGTATACTCATGGAAAACTGGAGGTCATACCTGAAGCTGTATCGACATTGCCCAAGTCTATAGCAAATGCACGAGTTTTTGTCAGACCTTGCAAGGCAAGTTGATCAATAATATTGTAATAACCAGTTCCAAGACCAAGCCCCCAGGATACACCCATTATACCCGTAAACATTCGATTACTGCCTGATGCAACACCAAATTGGAGTTTTTTAAGGGTCGGACCTGATCCCATCCTAAATTTTGTCAATAAGCACCTAGGCAACCGGAATATTTACCAACATAAAATTGTCTGTGGCATAAGCTCCAGTGACTGCACCGATACCATATGCTATATTCAAAGCTTGACTCAACGGTACGAAAGAGGTAGATTTCGTAGGATCGTACTGAGGGTAACTGGAGCAAAATGACGCCCACCCCGAGGTAGCGCACTGTGGATTCACCCAAACATCACTGCTCCCTGTATCGATACTGAGGGTTATAGACTGCGGAGGATATCCAATCTGTACTACTTATGATTAGACAGCATCATTGAGGCTACACTTGAAATGGCATACCGGTGATCATATAAATATCTCCAATGTAAGGGTTGGCCAAATTTGACTTGGATTGTCGTTTTCGAACATTTGGAACTCCCGCAACTTTAGTCACTCCTAGCTGGAAAACTCCATCATCAACCATCCGGTTTGGTAAGACTTTGGCAGTTGCATTGTTTTCGAAATCATCTTCAACATCAAGGAAGGCCGCTACCGCCACTGCCAAAAGAAGCAACCATGTAATCATGGCGAACATTGTTAAACCTACAACTCAAAGAGAGCCTTATCGCCAAAAAGTGGCGATGTCCTCGGCTATATGTATTTTCTTAAAAGTGTTCCACGCTCTTGACATTCCCCGCATTGAAAAGCCTCATACCTGAGTTCAACACCAGGATCTGAAAGCCAACTCAAGACATTGATCTTCGGAATTAAGATATCGCAGTGATTTAAAAAAGCCCTTCGTACCATGTGTGCAGTAATGGCACATACGAAATATACGCAGAAGAATGCATAAGACCAGAATCCCTTTCCAGTAGTGAGGAATGATCACTTTTGAATGTGGCGTAGAAGTAGGAAGGATTTAAGAAGCATCTGAACACCCCAGAAGCATCCTCGCTCACTAGGTAGCTCACTCCAAGTGAAGTCTTTATATATCCTTCCCATCGGCAATGATCCAAATTGAGAGCCGCAACTCTCTAAATACAGGAAAATGAACAAATTTTCCACCAAAAATTCACACCTTATTTCGATATCCTTTATTGCGAGGTGGAATGATAATCACCAATTCATGCTCATAGCAACCATTTCACGGAAAAACATCTTCCCAAACGCTTAGCATGACAATCATAATCACAGATGTTATGGTCGAGGAATTCTTTAAAGGGTCTACCGACTTGCTGGGATGCACAAGTGCTCAACACTGGTTGAGATGAGGTCTGAGCAAGTAAGGTGTGAAATGGAATTTGTACTTCCTCCGCTCACAAAAGACCACATTAAAGAGATTCCTGCTCATGGCGCACTGAAACAAAGATCGGAATGCAAAGAGAAAATCTTGATATGTTACGTAGCCGCCCATCCGTGGAATGAAATCTGGATCAATCTGTTGGAATAATCGCGTCGTCACGTGCTGTGTCTTCTCACTTTCCTCAAATGGGCTTAGACTAGAAAGCTAACTCTGCTTTTCGCTTAGTAATTAGCGCAGATCACCATTGCGGCTACAAATATTCGAATTTTGCGCAACAATTTTCTTTTCTTCTTCATCAAAAAGTATCAGAGCCAGCCACGACCTCCACCTTGACTTCAAAACAGTGGTGTGTTGCCAGCATTCTTAACTGAGTGTGAGGCTCTGTAGAGGAAGCAAATCCTTAATAGGAAGTTCGTTTTCCGTGTGTCTTCTTAATTGAGGGCGAGGGGATTCGAATGTCGAAAGAGAGGAAACAAACCAGCATGAATGATATTTACCCTTTTTAGATGGAATGCAATTTGAAATATGTTGAAAGGTTCGAATTAGATCCCCTGTTGGATCACGTCGCAACTGTATCAACATATCTCGAAGGAAATAATTACGTGCATTGGTGCATTCCACAATGTAGATACATTCCATGATTTGCGATACAGCCATTGCCATTCAGTAGTACATAATTTTTCTCATCATTCTTGACGGTTTTGATACCTAGATCCTAGATGTGCTTGTGCATGTATGAAAATACCTGGATACTCGTGGTAACGGATTCGTACTTATACCTGATTGCACCTTCCCGCATTTTTGTTCCTATATCCAAGACCATTTGGTTCCAAAAAGAAATTGAGCTCCAGGCGAAATTCTCAGATATGCGTCCACTGAATTGAATCGGATAGACGAGTTTCCACTGGTGTCTGCGAGTATACTTGACGGATAGAGTAGTACCCACCTTCAATATTTGACTCAGATTCATGAATAGCAGGTAAGGACTATGTCAGGAAGATAGACCTTTGTCGTTGCACCTATTAGCCATGACCAGCAGTAGTTGTATTGGAAAGCTGCACATATGTGTGTGCCTGCAGAGCCACGGATCCATCACCTCTCTTTTCTCTGTTTCAGCTTAAATGGTTATCTTTGACGACGCCGCACCGGCTCCCTCTTCAAGCACGAAGCGCGCACTTATTTCACCTCATAGACTACTAACTCACAGACGATCCAGTGTAGGAAACATATCTCTTGCGATTGCTGAAATACTTAAATGTCAATGCAAACAAATTGGCGGGGATTCCTCCCTGAGGAATTAGATATCCACTGTGTAGCTCCATGTAACCAACCAAAATCATGATGGAACCTCAAAACCCCATACCATTTTGCGCCATACTACCTCCCTTCCTCTGCCGAAAACGCCTCAATCCCTGATTCCAGATAGTGATCCATTTATGTAATGAATTATTTGTCGGCAGCTGCGACGTCACCGCTGACCATCTTTCGTAACTCAAACTCCTTTGTAAATTCGCGGCTGAAAACCTCAAGTTCGGATACCAAGTTACGGCAACAGGCGACAAGAGCCTCCTTGGGAGTTATCTCACCATCAGTTTGGATTCGGAGTTCGAATTTGGAAAAGAGGGGATGAGGAACTATGCGCCTCCAATTAGTACAGAATCTCCAAAAAGCCTGGCCAGCCATTGGTATAATGGAACTGGGCTAGTAGTGTGGTAGGCATACTCTTATAACCAGAAAATATAATATGCGGATCTTTCAATAAATGAGCACGCAACATGTTGGCGAGAGTGTGGTCTTCTTTATTGAAGGTAAAAATCGAGGAGTTGGGGGTGCCTGGATAATAGTTCATTAGCATAATCTGCTGTAGAAGAGCCCATTTGCGCAATTAATCTACAACTTACGCGTATCAGCTTCCTCAGTACACTTCTTCTCGCCATCTCCAAGAATGAATAACTCGAATCTATTGTGTATGATTAGCTTCCATCCTTCATCGTCGCGCGGGGCGCATATAGCTATGAAAGCTGTGAGATAAGATATACCTCTCAGGCGCGTTAGACATGTTTCCTAAGGCGGCCATAATTGCTTTAGTAATTGTTCTTTTTGATCATTTCCTCTTTGTGCCTCTTTTGACATTGTGGATTTTGCTACAAATAGGAAGGAACTTACAATGTATTTCAAGTATAATGTGCTCGTCTGAAGATTAAAGCTGATATTTCAATTGGTGTAAGGTATGATACGTTATCCAAGAAAGAATGGAAGGAGCTATGACAGGACCAGTAAGAAGCAGCGTTGTTGTAAGTTTGGCAGTGTCAGTGAAGATATAGACTTGTGAAGCTGGTGACAAAGATAATGCCAAGACTGCCGAAAGGCTAACACAAATTGGGTATAGCGGGACATCATAGAAGCGGCCGAGGCTCACACCAGCCTCTTTCAGCCTCCTCTTCATTTGTGAAGTCAACAATCTAGCCCATCGACCGACCGCATCATTTTTCTTTTCTTTTGCAAAATAAAGTATTTATGAGTGTTTTTTATCACTTCATATTTGTTTTAAAATTATACAACACGTTTCAAAGGATACCTTCAGCATAGTCCTTATTTTGTTATCGCGCTGTACATGGAATCCAAATAGATATCCCCTGTTTTCCATCTTCAAGGCTCTCCAGCTTCTTCGTATCATCCTCAGACATCGAAAATTGCATTGATTCCAGTTACTTCGCATCTACGAGCTACAGGAATCTGGATCATATCGAATCATGTCACATTCTAACCACAAACAAACGCTCCGTAAGGACTACCCATGGACAACTTATCCGCTTATATCATCTGCTCCTATGCGCTTAATATCAAAGCCTGCTTTGGCTTTAGCTGTATCTAGAGCTGGTGGTCTCGGTTTCCTTGCTGCTGGTCACGAGTGAGCTAGTTCCTTTTTCTTTATATTCGCTTCTCAGCGCAAATCACTGCTTTTTCCAGAGAAGATCTCATAATAAGTATAGACGAGATGGGCTCACTAGAGGAGAGCTATCTGGATCATGTACTGTGTCTATCATACTCCACTTTTATGCCACTGATAGACAGTTGAGACACTTGACCATCGAGCGTTGGGAGAGTACACTATCCAGTGATTGTTCATCGCAATATGTTCTTATTCATTACAACTCGGACTCTTTTCTATCTCGCTTTGAGTTACGTTATGCACAAATTCAAGTATGCCCAAACTAATACCAGAAACCATCCAGTCTCACCACCCTTTCGGACGAAATCAGAGAGATACAAGATTCTCTCTCAGATAATCCTATTCCCGGAAGCTATCGAGATACTCTTCCTATTGGAATCGGGTTTATAGTCTGGGGTTGTGATCTCGAGCACGTCCTGTCAATTCTCGCTCCCCTTCCATACCCCCCTGCAGCGGTATGGTTGTTCGCGCCGCACACTAGCTCGGATTTGCAGGAGTGGACAGATTCAATCCGGAAGCTCACAGGCAATCTTACTAAGATTTGGATCCAAGTCGGCACCGTCTCTTCCGCCCTGACAGCTGCTCACTCTTGTGACCCTGATGTACTCGTTATTCAAGGTTCTGATGCTGGTGGTCACGGTCTCGCTCATTCTTCCTCGATCGTTTCCCTACTTCCTGAATGCACATCTGCATTACGTTCAAACGCATATTCACACATACCTCTCATTGCTGCTGGTGGCATAGTCGAGTCACGTGGAGCAGCAGCTTCATTTATGTTGGGTGCTAGTGGGATATGCATGGGTACACGATTTTTGGCTTCTTCTGAGGCAGTGATACCGACGGGTTACCGAAATGCAGTATTGGCAGCAGAAGATGGTGGTGTATCAACCACGAGAACAACCCTTTATGATAGATTGAGGGGAACAGCAGGCTGGCCTGAAGAATATAATGGAAGAGGAGTAGTTAACAAAAGCTACTGGGATGAAGCGAACGGTATGAGTATGGAGCAGAATAAAGAGCTTTATGAAGACGAGGCGAAAAGAGGAGATGAAGGCTATGGGAACAAGGGACGATTGTGCACATACGCTGGCAGTGGCGTTGGGTTGGTTCGAGAGACCATGGATGCTCGTGATATTGTAATCGAAGTGAGGGAGGGGATGAGGAAATTGATTCGAGAGGGATCAAGTCGTTTGTGAGGCACTTTGGATATCATAAGTTTGGGATGCCCTATGATCTTCTAAATCAAAGCTTCAAATTTTAATCGGAGATTGGGTATGTGGTCTCATCTCATGCAGTTTTACGAATTTCTTTTCAGTGTATAGTTCTCGAAGGGTGGTGCTTTGTATTTATCAGTTCTCATGATGCAGATATCTGATGTTTTTTCTGGATATAATAATACTGCCTTATATAACCAAAAACTTTTACCTGCAATAAAAAAATTACTTTCCAATAATTCCATGAACTGAGAAAGAACAGTGCGACAAAAGATTCTGGGGTAAGCAGCTTAGGATAGGGTGTGAAGAGAAAGATCGAGGAAAGTGGAAGTGTATGAAAAAGCAGAATGAGACGGTAGAAAGATGGAACTTGATATCGTCATTCTTAACGGTTCGTACTCCAAGTTAACAACGCCAAATCCTCTCTTGTTTAAACCTCAGTCGTTGAACCCTTAAATATTTTACTCTTTCATTTCTTAATCTTCTTTCCATGCTTCGGTTTCTTGGCTGGCGGCGCGGCGACTTCTTCTTCTTCATCGTCATCTTCATCTTCATTCTCTTCTTCCTCCCCTTCCTCCTCCTCCTCCTCCTCCTCTTCATCTTCATCTTCATCTTCATCATCTTCCTCCTCCTCTTCCTCGTGTTCATTCCCCAACGCCTCCCTATTAATTTGCTCTCTCCTAACAGCATCCAACTCAGCCGAAGCTCTCGCCAACTCATCCCTCAACCTAATCCTATGCGCCTCCAACTCCGCATCACTTAACCCTCTAGCAGCACGCGTTCTAGAAGCGTTAGTCCCCCCAAATACGCCAGCGCCTTGCGGGGCCACTATAAGCGCCGCAGCCCCCGCAGCCGCACCAGCCAACCCAATACCCACCGGTCCCACCAACAACGGCGCAATACGTTTCGGGCCACCGGTTCCTCCCCCACTGGGAACATTCGCGGCAGGAGGCACTCCTTGCGCGGGTATAATAATAGCACCAATACCCTGCTGAGCAATACCGATAGCCACTCCAGCTAAATCACCCAGCTGGCCACCGAAATTATTCGCGGGCGCCATGCCCGGAATATCAGGAGCATCTTCGGCTTCTGCTTGCAGATGAGCTACTGCGTTTTGATGCTCTAATTACTCCCAAATTAGCTTCAACTTCGAGTCTTCCTCTCCAATTTGCGTGGCTATTTAAAAGAGAGAGAGAAGAATGGAAACATACCATGTCTCAACGAACACCTACTCCCCTGCCCCCCATAATAGCAATTCGTACACGCCTCTTTGAAATGGCCATCAGCCACCACACAATCGGTAAACGGACCATTTCCCTTTCTGCAATTAGTGCAGGGACGTGCTTGGAGAGTGCCGACTTGGGTTGCGAGCCATGCTTCTTCGTTTATAATGCGACGGGGTCCGACGAGCAGGTTGCGGTTGGGACGCAGAGTTGTGTTGCGGAGGATGGAGAGTAGCGCGAGGGTGTTCATGGAGGCGGTGATTCGACTGGCTGGAGCGCCGTTGATTACTGTATTGGATGGTAAGTTTTGGGGGTTCAAGGGGGGGATTGTGGGGAAGGTGGAATCAAAAGACTAGTCAGTGAGGATGATGTGGGAGATGAAACGTAAAGTTGGATTTTGGCAATAATTTTGGCAATAGGGCCGAGCGATATGCAGTCAAAAGAACAAGTATACTTACGCGTTCCCGCCGGGGGGCCTGGGAGTGGTATAGGAGGTATAGGAGGAGGAGATGCACCAGCCATGACTATTTATGTATGTTCAAGATAAAAGCTCAAACTAGTTTGGAAATACGTATAACTTTGACAGCAATAGGTAAGAGCTAGAAAGACATAGACATCTCTTGGATACGCAAGAGACATACAATCTGAACATAGCACAATCGTTCCTTTGTTTAGCACCTAAGACGCTACCTTTAATATTCTTCGCTACCCTTTGTGAGAAGGGATTTGAGAACTAGGACATTGTGAAGTCATCTCTTTGTGTAAAGGCCGCAACTGGATAGTATGCCATAGGCGCAGTCTGAGAATCTGCTAATCAGAATGAAGGTTAATTAATTGATTGCGAGTCATTTGCTAACTGTTTATGCGAACCAAACGAGCTCACTTGTGGGGATTTATGGTGAATGATACATCCATAACCGAGGAGCACACTCCATCATCAAATGCTACGAAAGCCTTGAGGCCAATTTGAATATTATAACAATCTGATCCTGACATTTATAACTGTGAAGCAAAAACAAAAGAGAACGAAAAGAAAAACTAAGAGATATCAATTTCCAGTGCAATGCTACGCTATGCACCCAATCCAGCCATACCATCCGAAAAAACTCAAAAGATCTAGTACCATAAACAATGACAAAAGAATGCCCCATCCATATGTATGTATATATTCAGTTTATACATGCATACAAGCACAGCCCTTTGTCTTCCCACCACTTGTGTGATCGAGCCGTGTGTGCGATTTAGAACAATGGCAATTCTCCTCCTGCCCTGTCTTTTCTATCACAATATCCAACGTTTGGAACTTTATCACCACCACTTGTCCAGCTGATGATGGTCAAGGCCGTAGTATATACCATGACAATCAGGCCAAAGATACAAAGCATGATATCTGCCCCTTTGCGGAAACGCGTTTTAGCTACACCTCGATAATGTAGCATTGGCTAATGAAAGGTTAGTCTCTTGATTCTGGGGCTAAACGTATGTGATTTAAATTTGAATTTGTCAATGAATTCAGAGGACATACCGGATATATGAATACTAGTGGAATACAAGCAAAACTTCCCACAATTGAAACAAATTTGTCTAAATCGTTAGAGCCAACGTATGCAATGGATGCGCACAGGGCAACGACGAAGAAGCGGAAAACATTCTTTTGCCACTTAATATAAGGGTTGTATTTTCCACTTTTGGTAAAGAGCTCATTCTCCGTGATTCTGATGGCCGGGAAGATCTGTAGAGGGGTTGACAAAAGAATGGCGCACGAATAGAGGAATTGAACACCATTGACCATCTTGTCGTTCTGTGGAAGATTCAGAAGAACAACTGTCTCTATGTGGGATCCAAATGCAGCGTAAGAAAGAGCACCCATAGAGATAAATACTACGCTGATGATGATCATAACTATACCGAGAACAGGAGGAAACTTCTTTGGATTCTTCATTGATTCTTGAATAGGAATGATCAAGCCAATTCCTTCGAATGTGAAAATGGCGGTGCCAATGAACAACGTCCAATCTTGTTGGTTGAAATTGACGATATCAGAAATACCACCTTGTTTCACGATTGTGAAGATGTCGTAATAGTAGAGATATACCAAGCCAACAAGAATAAAGGCATCTGCTATGAGTGCGGTAAACCCAAGCTTGCTGATGTCGCGCAAAAGAGAGAATGGCAAGAAAATAGCCATTTGTAGCAAGATCAACCATGAAACCTCCCAGTGAACTCTGCAATTAGTCACGGCTGCTATGAAAGCTTGCAAGTTCTCTGACGTGAACACTATATATGCAGCCACAAATCCCATCTGACTAATGACAATCGATGCAAGAATGACAGTTCGCATCCATCTCCCATAGAGAACACCTCCCATATCTCCGAAAGACGCCTCAACCTTTAGTCGCGTGTTGACGAGCAACACGAAGCAGTAATAACTCAAAGCTGCGACGAGAAGAAGGATGATGTTACTGAAGAGCATTCCGCCGTTGAGATACGCCTTAGGTAGGAACAACACGCCAGTACCCACAAAAGATTTAAGCAACAGCAACGAAGCTTGAAAAGGTGTGGTATTTCCTTGTGGTGCGCGCTCCTTGCGCTTTCTTTTTCGGCGACCGGGGGTAAGCAGAGCACTATTCTCCATAGGCTCTCTATCCTCATCACTACCTTCACCATAATCATCAGAGATAGCATCCGATCCAAAGTATTCGTCAGGTCCGAGTACCTCATCGTCTTCTTCCAATTCTTCACCAGCAAAATGGCCGTAGATGGTTAGAAACTCGAGGAAATTGTTTGTAAATATTTTTGGCTGTCGTTGCGCGAGTCCCCCGCCTTCTTCTACATCTCTGCCATCAGGAGTTGGGCTGCCTGCTGCTCGACGTAGATAATTTCGTCTGAATCCACCTGGCAATTTGATTGTGCCAATGTCAAGTACTTCGTTCTCTGCTTCTGGTCGCGAGATGTGAAAGCTCTTGCTTCTTTGAGATCGGCTTGCTCTGTGAGCATCTTCGGTCCATCTGTATATGGGCCTGGTAACATCACCACCTTGTAATCGCAGACTCGAGAATTCATCATCATCTAGCCCAGGCGCTATAGTTTCAATTGCCTGTTTTGATGTACTGGCCGGAGAGCCCACACGGAATGATGGCGACTGTCCGCTTGGACCAAAGATCCCATCAGCGGCACCGTCACCCCCTAGCTGCGAAGGTCCTTGTTGTACTAAATGTCTTTTTATAATTTCTGGGTCCTCGTAGGCTGTCGGGCCAGCCCATCCTTGCCCTCCTTGTACCGATCGCGGAAGAGAGCCATAATTACTATGCGCTCCTGTACTTTGTATTTGTTTACCGGCAGCGGCTGGTGATAATGAACGGATGGGAGGTGTTCCAAAGGTAGGAGGAGTCTGCCCGATAGAATTCGACAGCGCAGCAGCCAACGCGCTGATACCTGGACCAGGCGCATAAGATGCTGGACCACCTGCGCCAGCCAGAGGGAGAGGTGTAACACTCTCAGATGGATCTGCGGCGGCCTGATTCGGAATAGGTATCTGTCGAACCTGTGGAGTGCCGTGATGGGAAGGTACTGGTGAAGCTAATCGGGCTGTTGATTTATCTCTCGAAGACGGACTTCCCGACCGCCCTCTAAATGAGCCTGCTGATGGTGACGAACTCATCGGAACTGGCAGAGGTCGTGAAGAGGAAGGAGTCGACATGATGATATGAGATGAGGTCGGTGAAGAAGGTTGTAGATATATTATGATTGAAGAGCAGCAATTCGCTGGGTCTTATCTCATGATAATGGCCGTATTGTATTAATCCTGGTATAAGACAACCTATGAAGGATGGGGAAGATGGAAATCTTCTTCGGCGAATTTCGTTAGCCTCGATATACAGTATATGCCAACAGAGCCGGTGAATATTTCATGTGCTGTCGTAGGAACACTTACCAAGAATGAATGTCAAAACAAATTTCTGATAGAGTACGATGTTATTATGTTGTCACCTGCCTATCTCATGCTCATACTCAGCTCACACCAAGGTCTCCGGCTATCTTGCAAGATACAAAAAATGGCCCTTGTCTTGTCTGAGAATCTCAAACATCCAACATCAACATCCAACGAATCGGGAGAGGTGCAGCGAGTAAGAAGACCTCGAAAAGAACGAACCAATTGAAATTCAAGAATGAAATGCTTTTTGTATGATATTTCGATTGGTCTATTGAATAGATAAAACAGTACGAGTAATGGAACAGTATTATACCAAGATATCTCTCTATCTGGGTAATGATCTCTCATTCCTATGGGCTGAGGAAAAGTAAATAATATCTAATGACAAAGTATGGACGGGTGAATTTCACATGAGCCATTTTATAACCTTATAACCTTATAACCTTACACAACAAGTACAAATGGTAACATTAATAAGTATTCAGCTCTTTCCTTCCTCTCTGTTCCTCTTCTTCCTCCCTCTCTCGAATCTCCTTTGTTCGAAACTCGTCCTGAACAATCATCTCACTGTTGTCACCTGTGTTCCTTGTCCTGCCACATGACGTCGAACGGCAATATCCTTGTTCTTGGCTTCACCATCTCTTAGATCTCGTATCTGTTAATGAGTGTATGAAAATACATACTTATGTACCTGACATTATTTCTTCACTTAAATTAATAAGACATTGATTTGGAGGGGGGTATTGATATTGCCATTGGTTTTACTATCAATCATTGAGAATGCCCAATGCGGGCCAGGGAATTGACAGCGTCGGCGAATCTAGCACCAGCAAGCATGGAACCCAGTGTGAGGGTGAAGCTCCTGCTAGTAAATTCAACATTGGCAATGGAAATTCCTTAACGCATCGAGTGTTACACACATTTTCTAGCGATGCAAATGACAACAACCAAACGCCGGACCCTCAAGAGGAACAGCGTCAGGATCCATACTCTGCTGGTACTATGGGAGAAAATTCATTGCCTGTCCAAATGCATAATGAGGCAGAGCGGAAGAAGAATGGTACAGCGATTCCTAGATCAGGGCTGGGACCTCGACCAATTGGTGGACAAGAGAAGTTGGGGATGTTTTCCGGTGTGTACGTGCCAACATGTCTCAATGTTTTGAGCATTTTGATGTTCCTGCGATTTGGATTTATTCTAGGACAAAGTGGGTTATTGGGCATGTTAGGTAAGTCTCTGACTGCACAAGACCATGGCAAACATTGACAGGACCCCAAGGTATGCTTGTCGCGTCGTACGTGATCAATTTTATCACTACCTTCTCTCTTTCTGCGATTGCCTCGAATGGGACAGTGCGCGGAGGTGGTGCATATTACTTGATATCTCGTTCATTGGGTCCAGAATTTGGAGGCTCAATTGGACTCGTCTTTTATCTGGGCTTCGTTTTCAATACTGGAATGAACGCCGTGGGTCTTATCGACTGCATCACGCTAAATTTCGGTGCCGACACTGGTAATTGGGCTCATATCTTGCCTGAAACAAACTGGTATTGCTACCTTTGGTCTACCGTAGTACTCGTTCTGTGTACACTGTTATGCTTGGCTGGATCTGGAATCTTTGCGAGAGCCAGTAATGGGCTACTGGTTATTCTATTCATCGCCACATTGAGTATCCCACTTTCTGCATTGGTCGTTAGCCCTTTCGAAAGTCGGAATTTAGGTATTGAATATACGGGCATTAGCCTGCAAACACTATCTGGGAATCTTCTACCTCAGCTTACTAGAGGTGCCGCTGGCAGCCAGATCAATGGCCGAGAGACTTTTCAGGACCTTTTTGGGATCTTATTTCCTGCAACCGGTGGCATATTCGCCGGGGCAAGCATGAGTGGTGACTTGAAGTCTCCGAGCAAAGCCATCCCAAAAGGAACTGTGTATGGCCTTATCACAACATTCTGCTTGTACACTCTAGTCATAGTAGCCATGGCCGCCACAGTGACTCGCTCATCTTTTCTCAGAAACACGAATGTGCTTCAAGAGACAAACATGTCAGGGTTATTAATCCTGGCAGGAGAAGTGTCCACTAGCTTATTCTCTGTGCTGATGGGAATTATTGGCAGTGCAAAGCTCCTTCAAGCAATATCAAGAGATAGCTTGCTACCTGGGTTTTCTATATTTAGTCAGGGAACCAAGAAAGCTGATGAACCTACTTTTGCCATCATTTTCACATTCATTGTCACCCAATTAACAATGCTTGGCGACCTCAATCAAATCGCCAGTTTTGTAACAATGACTTATCTTGTAAGTACGATTTTGCGAAATTATGCGAAACTACAAAACCCCCTTCTCTACACTCAGTCTCCGATTTCAGTTGCATTTTGCATCGACAATCGCGCTCGCCTGATGTGTGATGTTGTATTTTGATGTATACACCTGTCATTTATGCCCACTTTCTCAAGTTGTTTAATGTTCGTTTGTATATTTTGAGTCCAACGGTAGCCATGCTCTCATTTTTATACTAAATAATTGTTTTATGAGTAGCATTAGCTGACATTGTTAGATGACCTTTCTGGTCATGAACCTAGCCTGTTTCCTCCTTTCGATCGGTTCTGCACCTAATTGGCGTCCCAGTTTCCATTTCTTCAACTGGCAGACTGCTTTTGCAGGAGCAATATTGTCAGGAGTCGCAATGTTTTTTGTGGACGGACTTTATGCAACAGGATGTGTGGGCATGCTCCTTCTATTATTCCTCCTTATACATTATTCCGTAGAGCCAAAGAGCTGGGGAGACGTCTCTCAAAGTTTGATCTATCATCAAATTCGAAAATACCTCCTTAAGCTTAAACAAGAGCATGTTAAGTTTTGGCGCCCTCAGGTTATCTTACTTGTCAATGACCCACGCCGACAATACAAGCTTATACAATTTTGCAACTCCATGAAGAAAGGTGGTCTGTATATCCTTGGTCATATTATTGTGACGGATGATTTCAGCCAATCCGTGCCAGAAGCTGTAAGTAGAGCTTCAATGCTTCATATACCATAAGAACAAGTTATACTATTTAAGCAACATTCACTGATAAGTGAGAGTAGCGTCGCCAGCAAGCAGCGTGGAACAAGTATATTGATTTCTCAAAGATCAAAGCATTCGTTAATATTGCCATATCTCCGGCTCTTGAATGGGGTGCTCGCAATATTATTCTCAACGCAGGACTAGGAGGAATGCGGCCGAATATTGCAGTTATGGGATTCTACAATTTAGATGACCTTAGAAATGCTCAGCCATTGATAGACATTTCGGAGCCATCCGAGCCTTCATCTGGCAATGTCAAGAAATTCAAGACACCACCTCGTTATAGGCGTCAGAACAGTAGGGAGAAGAAGATGCAAGGAGTGCTCCCAACTGATTTATGCCGGACCGAAGGCATGATGAGCGTAACAAGCTATGTCACTATCTTAGAAGATCTACTCTTCAAATTGCAAATCAACGTTGCAGTGGCCAAAGGTTTTCGAGATCTGGAATTGCCAGATACTGAGAACACCAAGAAGTATATTGATCTTTGGCCCATCCAAATGTCTGCTGAAATCGCAGCTGAAGGAGATGTAAAGCAAAATGTTTTGACCACCAATTTTGATACTTGTAGGATACACAATTTCTTAGTTCCCTTCTTTCGAAATCTTTGAGGTAGCTAACCATAGCAATAGACACTTTGATACTCCAACTTGGTGTCATCCTAAACACTGTACCTGCTTGGAAAAAAGCATACAAACTTCGCGTAGCTGTATTTGTCGAATATGAAAACGACGTGGAAGAGGAAAGAGGCAGGGTAAAATCTCTACTCGAAAATCTGCGCATTGAAGCTGAGATTCTTGTATTTTGGTTGGCGTCAGGAGATATTCCATCTTATGAGATCATCATCAATGGTGCAGCTCCTGGCTCCAATCAAGTTGACGAGGTCGAACAATGTCTTAAAGGACAAGACTGGTGGGATGACATACAGAAGCTTCGTGGGAATCATGGAGCTACCACCTCTGCCGTGGTAGATCTGGCTCAGATAACGAACATATTTCATGCTGCCCCAACTTGGCCGGACGCATCATTTCAACAGGGTGCACGGTTTAGACATGTAAGCACTCGTTCGATCCACCTCTTGTCTCTTGTTCTTTTAATCGTTCACAAGTTTTTCTATCCTTGTATATTCATTTTTTTGATGACGACTGACCTGATCTTGAAATTTTTCTTAGGCCAAGCGATTTCTTGGACTCCGGCGGCTGCTAAGAAAATCAAAGAAGCGACAGAATATGAGCAATCTGAAAGGCTTAGGTGTTAGTATGGGTATGCGATCTCAGAGATTAGAGCCCGATGTTATGAGCAGACATGCTAGTCAGGGGAGTGCTAGCGAAGATTCCGATAGTGATTCCGAACTTCAGACTGAGGAGCCGGAATCTGATGACGAAAGTGCAGCGAGTGAAGGAGATCTTGATGATTTCGAATCAGACAGCGATACCCACGCTGGAGAGATCAAACCAATTGCACGAAGAAGAAGCCATGGCGATAGCTTACGTGGTCCCCCCATATCCAAGCGTGCAGCGGGAGCAGAGGATCCAATTCCTCCTACGATTTCGCAATCTACGAGACAATCGATAATTGATACTTTCAATAAATCATCAGATGTATCGATGCCAACAGCTTCAGCGCCCGTGTCAACACCACGTTCACCTCAACCATTCGGTCTTCAGCCATCACCAGTTTTAGACTTTCCTGGCTCTGTGCAATCATTGAAAGACTCCCAAAAGCCACCCGCCGCTCCTGATTTATCAGCATCATCATCTCTCCTACAACCTCACAACCTAGGAAAGAGACCACCGATATCTAGACATGCATCTACCCCGAAATTTTCTTCAAAACCAGTTCCCATGACCCGCGTGGCCACAGAAGACGGCCCCGGCCCTAGCATAATGTTCGCCGAAACACCCTCGCCACCAACCGCTCGAAAATCCGCTTCTCGTATGCCATCCGCATATCGTTCTTCTCCCTCTTTCGATCGGATTTCCGAAGCATCCAATTCTTCTAATCCTACCCGCAATCCTCCTTCTCCCACTCGGTCTTCATACTCTTTGCAATCTATTCCGCTTAGTTTCAATGATTTACCGTGTAGAGCACAACATCTGATTCTGAATCAATTGATTAAGAGTCAGAGTGAGGAGACGGCGGTTATCTTTACTACTTTACCGAGTCCGGTTGAAGGAACGGGTGGAAGTAGGGAGGCGAGTGAGGGGTATCTTGGGGATTTGGAGGTGTTGTGCGGGGGCCTACCGCCAGTGTTGTTGGTGCATAGCAACAGTATGACGGTTACTGTTAGTTTGTAGGGAGTGGGAAATGGGATACTGAAGGGCAATACAAAAGGCATTAGGGGTTGGGCAAGGTGTATTGAATTGGGTATATGTGCATGCGGAATCGGAGTTAGGTGGGCATTATTTCGGGTTAAAGGATAGGCGATAGACATACATATAACAAGGAATACATACAGGTTAAAGATTACTTCAGACTCTTGCGATTTTGATGAAAACTGTAGTATTAGTTACTATGCACGGGAAAACAATTCAATCTCGTTGGATCATAACTAGAACCTACAGCTTGATCATTGCAATCCCAAACGACCTCGGCGCAACAAGAGTACCCTTAATCACTCCAAATTATTCCACCAAGAGTATCACGATCTCGTGGGAATCATTTGCAAATATAGAATCGCCGAAAAGATGAGATTGTAATTTATCATTTATTATTATAATCTGGGAAGTCATATCCCATATCCCATATCCCATATCCCATATACCGTATCATCTATTCTATATTCTATATCCCATGATCATTAATCTCTTTGTATAATACATGCCCCGCTTGGTACTTCAAAGATCCCCCGCGCTTTGCTTTCTGCAGGAAGCAAATTCTGTGAAAAGGGCCTTATATATATATGTGATTCCTAGCCCTTTTAAGCCCTGCTCTTGAACTTTGATACATAAATGGCAGCTTCGTTATACAGAAGTCAAGTAAAGAATGAGTTGTGTGCAACTTGTGGTCCGCATGTTTCCTCTTCTGTGACAAGCTCGGTTGTCGTGTCGTTTAATGGATTGCTATAATTTGGGGTTTGAGGTAGAGGGGCGTCCGAAGCGTTGAGTAAAGATGTTGTTGGAGTAGTGAATTGTGACTTAGATTCATTTTCTGTATCGTTGGAGAAGTGGTATAAATCTTGGGTGAGGGATGGTGTAGTATTTATACCCAAGTCTTCGACTAATCCTAGTAGCGATATGCATTCCTCTCCCATCACTGTGGTTGGTATTGATGATAAGATAGGAGATCTATCTAAGGCGAAGAGAAGCTCCAAAAACATGTCCTTGTCTTCCCAAAAATCTGGAGCCCCTTCTTCTTCTTCTTCTTCTTCTTCTTCTTCGTCGTCCTCCTCACTTGAGAGGTAATATTCGTCGGAAGAGTCATCTTTAGAGTATGAAGAGCTTGAAACAACAATAGACTCTTTGGCAAACTCATATGCATCATGGAGGGCGCGTACAATACTTGAGCGGTTACCAGACAACCATTGCTCGTTAGCTAAATCCTGTAAAAGTCTCATTTCAAATTTAGGCAAAATAATTTGAGAATAAAATTCCCAGGAAATATCGAAGAGTGATTTTTCGAGGAAGTGAAGCTGTATGGCCAAAGAATAATAACAATCCGTCTCAACAAAATCCGCAGCAAAATCTTCATCAAAACCGTAATCCACCAAAGCATGGAAGATTACATTCAAGTAAACCTTTTCGTTATATTGAGTCTTGTGAAGGTGGCCTGGTAGAATGGAAGTGAAAAATGATGATGGGTTGTCGAAATCTACTCCTGAATCCTCAAAGTATTCAAGGAACCCCGCCCAGATAGCTCTATGGAACTGGGTATTCATATCTGAGCTTTCGATCGAGGCAACTAAGTCTTGGAATAACAAGATGTTTTCGTAGAGATTCAGTTGGTTCATTATCTGTTTCAAATGAACATTGTCGTGGAGGTAATTAAATATACCTGGGCATGATCGAGATATATTACAATCACGGTCGGCCGCTTTTTTTATGCAACGGGCGAGATGAGTGCGGTACGAACTCCAAACTTCATCCGCACTTGGCCATACTAGAGGCCACAATTCCTGGGTCTTTAAGAGGTCATAAACGGGACGTTTAGATCCATCAATTTGCACTTGCCAATCCAAGTTCTCCAAGCCATGTTCTTGAAGTGGAGCGCGGGTACTATTCTTGATTATGATTCGCGCTAAATGCAGCAGCGATTCAGTATCTGACTCTGAAGTTGGTGACAAAGTAGCTATGGTCATGAGCGGCGATTGATCAGCTCTATCCTCTTTTATCCTTGGCACTCCTGGATCCAGACCATGGTACACCAATTCCTCAAAGACGGACAGCAGTCCTTCGATACCGCGCTGCGGGGGAATAGATCGATGCTTGAAAATTTCGATAATTTGGCGCAGTATTAGGTCCAGAAGAGATCTCTCGGCCCACAGACGATCATATGGTGAGGCATGTCCATTTATAAAGAGCTCTCCAACCTCTGCCAGGTTACCAGAGATGCAAGCGTTGACAATTGGAGCGTTGCTGTCGATTCTATTGTATACTCGTAACGCAGGTTCGGGGGTGAATGCCGAAATAGCGAATCCTTGCTCAACAATAGAGCAATATATACCTAATTGAAGTAACTCCGGATTTTGGGAACAGGTACACATTTGTCTGAGTGACAGTGAGGGATCCTATGTTGGAGGCACCAGTGTCTGATTCATTGAAGGTTGTAATGATAGACTGCATAGTCACTATACCAATAGCACGGGAATATTTCTTTTCTAGGATACGCTGTTGGACAACTTCTCGTCGAGGTCCAGTTCCCAGAATAGGTTTAAACCTTTGTATAGACTCAACCCCCCCAAAATCTCGATTGTGTTTAGTCTCAAGATGGAACCCCAACAAGACTTCGCGGAATATGCTTTTCACGAATGTTGGCATGCCCATTGGCAATAATCTCAAACCTTCTGAAGTGGCTTTTAACGTTTCGATGGATTCGTTTGCTGCACTGGCATTTTGAACCGCCTCATGGACATAACCGGCTGTTTCGGACACTATTGTAGCAGAAGCAGTAAATTTCGATGTTGAAATTGCGTTGACCACGTTACAGAGGTCATAGATTTTTGTAAAAAGATCACTCTTCAAAACAGAAACAGCTTCCTTTGTATTGCATGCAGCTACGTGCACTTCATCCAACCATGCTGGATCGTACTGACAATCTTCGAAGAATCGCCGAGATTTGAGGCTAGAGAGTTAAGATCCCGCTCGATGACTTGGTCGTGTGAAAGCCTTTGATTTTCCAGGTGTCTTGCCGATCAGTAAGTTGGACTTCTTGTAGATTAATTGGAACTTACAATATCATATTAGCCTGCGTTATAGCTATGTCGTGCTTGACTCTATTGATTCTGGATACGTGCTTCGCGCAGGTTTCTCTTAAAAACACGAATTTGAGTTTATCCCTCTTTCTCCCGGAAAACTTGTTGGTCGCAATGAACTTTAGTAGGTTTTGTACAGCTTCGTGCGCTGTATTCAAAACCGATCGAACTGCATGCATTCGACCACTTGCTGTCAACTGAACACCAGAAGTTTCCATATCTTGGAGAACGTTGCGAAAGCTGTCAAGGATGAGCTCAAAAGAGCTCACTTCGCTTCGGAGTTCTCGGACATCGCCATCTGCTTCCTTGATTGCATCGATTGTTCGACGGACATATTCGCAGCCTTGCACGAGCTGGCCAGCAAGACCGATAAAAGCAATCACTGACGCGCCTAATCCGATGGCGTCCGCCATGGCACGAAAAAATAACAAAGATTGGAAGATTGGAAGAATTTGTAGGAATTCAAGAATCTGCGGATGGATTTGAAGACTTCTTTTGAGGGGCTTTGGCCTTATGTCTTTGCATCAAGATTGTTTTCGCATTTTGGTAATGCTCAATGAGGCTCGGTTGTCATTGTTCGTACAACCAGAATTTCATAAGGGCGTGATATTCTGCAGAATCAATTGGGGTGTTAAAATTTCTCAATTCCATCGTCAATTGGTAGAAATGGGAGCCATTCAGTCTCGAAACACTAATCCTGGCCCAACCTTTTTACAGTCCATCTCGAGTGCAGCAAACTTTTACTTCATTGCCATGCTTTTTGAGATTTGTTCGAAGCTGAGATGTCGAAGAATTTTGGAAGTGTACAACTTCTTCATGTCGTAAGACCAAGCTTTCTTTTCAAGATAAGAAACTTTAGTTATTTGTTCTTAGATTTTATAAGCCATCGTTGATGAATCTGAGTAGGTAAAGCATATTTACTTGTCAGTCGCTGCGCCATTGGGTGGTACATCATCACAGTGTAACACTTCGATCATCAAATCCCGCAACCGAGTTCAACTATTGAACTCGTCGCCCAAGATAGTCTCATCGCATTCTTTGATGGCTATGCTATGGATGAACACTGTATCTTGAAGTTATTACGCGTAATCCTTACCTCCCAAATATAACATGAAAAGAAGTCCCTTGAATAATAAACCTGCCTGTCTACCCTGTAAGTCAATATAATTTATGATCACGTGCATGTAATTTACACGAGAATTCGCGGATCGCGTCCCTGCGCGTTTCCCAACTTCGTAGTTAAACAAAAGTTCCATTGGTAGCAGTATCGAGAACAACAAAATGGCGGTACCTGTAGAAGATGGCAGTTTACTGCATGGCCCTACGTAAGTAATTGTTCAACCAAATCAGTTGATGTAAAGTTCTAAATCAATTTTTCTTCAATACAGCACTTCTCAGTCCTCACCACCGACTCGAGTACCTTCGTCCTACAAGCCTCTCTCTACATTTGCACTCTCCAAAGCAAAACAATATCAACAGCAATATGGCGATATGTACTTCTTGAGATTAACTTCTTTAAAGAAACCAGTTGAAGAAATTGCGAGCGCCGCTTGGGATGGGTTCCAGATTTCTGGGGAGGAAGTGCGGAAAGTAGAGAGAGTGCTGGATGTTAGACAAGGGCAATTATGCTGGGTGGCAGGTACAATTTATATGAATATGCCATTGAAACCAAATATTTTGGAAGATATAAGTAAAGATGTAGGGAATTCCCTTCCTCATTTGAGCAATTGGAGAAGAAGGGAAGTATGAAATCATGATCTTGGAGTGCTAACTATTTTCTGTGAATAGCATTGGATATCTGCACCCCCACCTCGAAAGAAATATCTCTCCAGTGACGGCGAAGACGATATAATGCTCGAGGATGAATCTGGACGACTGCGATTAATTGGAGGACAACTAAATAGAGAGCTGCTGGTGACAGGCTGTATAGTAGCGGTAATGGGGACAGAAAACGCCAATGGAGATTTCGAAGTAGTGGATATCAAAGTACCAGATTTACCACCGCAGGAACCAAGATGGGAAATATCCGGGGAGAAAGAAGAAGAGGATATAGATATAGGTACAGAAAAAGCAGGGCGCAAAAAGATCGCCCTCGTCTCCGGCCTCTCATTCTCTGGAACTAGCGCCGAAAACTCTCTCGAGAAGGCCCTTCTGACCGAATATCTCCTAGGCGAAAGTCTAGATCCCTCTTCCCAAGCCGACGTCTCTAAAATAAGTCGTCTAGTAATAGCTGGTAACAGTATTGCCTCGGATCTCGATAGCATAGCACACGACACCGTGGGCAATACACGCAAAGCACAAAAGAAATACGGCTACGATGCCAGCGCCTATAATCCCGCTCCCACCGCACATTTTGATAACTTCCTAGCTGAGCTATTGCCAAGTTTGCCCATTACATTATTACCTGGACCTAGCGATCCGGCAAATGCAAGTCTACCGCAACAGCCTATCCATCCGGCTATGTTTCCTCAGGCTAGAGCGTACTGTGGTAGTGCGCCGAGTGTTATCGGAGAAGAGAGGGAGGCTGGATGGTTCGACACAGTGACGAATCCATGGGAGGGAGAAATAGAAGGATGGAGAGTTTTGGGCACGGGTGGACAAAATGTCGATGATGTATTCAAATACGTAGAGGGTGAAGATCGCTTGAGAATGATGGAGGCTATGTGCAGATGGAGGTGTTGTGCTCCCACTGCACCAGATACTCTTTGTATGTTACACCCTAAACCCCCTTCTTTCGCTTTGCGCTAACAATCCCAAGGGTCCTACCCATTCCAAGACGCCGACCCCTTCATAATCAGCACGTGTCCACACATCTTCTTCGCCGGCAACCAACCCTCTTTCGACACAGCCAGTATCGAGGGCCCCGACGGCCAAATCGTCAGACTAATATCCATACCGAGTTTCGAAGAGACAGGCGAAATCGTACTCCTAGATGCTGAGACGCTGGAGGCGGAAGTAGTGAGGATCACGGTTGAGTAGGTAGCTATGGTATGGTATGGTATCTACCTAGATAGATAGAACATAACATATGCATGCATATGTAGAAAAGAGGGAGAGCATTTTACGAGCTGGGAATCAATTACCTACCCACATACCCTACTTACTAGATACTCACCTCGTCTCATCTTATCTTATCCACTATCAACCAAATATCTAGCCGTGGGGAGAGAGACCACGATAAATCATTTGCTAGATGAGATAAAAGCTAGATATAATAATATTCCAATCGCTCCTGAACTCTACATAGGTACTGCGAAATATGCACTCACTCTCGATTCCATAAAACAGGTAAGCAATTGGATTATCTCAAGACTCCCCCCTCTCAAAAAATTACATAGATGGGGGGGTATGTACATCCATTTCAAACCCGCATGTATATCTATATATATATATATATACACACACATCCATCCATCCCAACTCATTCTCAGAAAAGGAGGGTCATAATATCTCGCTTCTCGCGGACTACATAGATACTTGAAATGAAAATTTAAATTTTCGGAGAACCCCAGCACCACCATCGACCCATATCCCCCTAGGTACCTATCTCCAGCGATTTTCCAAAATTCAAACCCAGCAACCAATATGAAAGAAAGATCATCTAGATTACTAGATATCATACATAGCACTCAAATAGCAAGATACGGATTGTGATTTCGAGTCCTAAAATGTATATCCATATTTTATTTTATTTTTCATCTTAAAAAAGAAATAAAAGAAAAGAGGAGCCATTCATCTAATTCTACTACCTACTACCTACTACCTACTACCTGATACCTAATCCTCACTACTCACTGTTCCAACCAATACAGCCAAACAACACAGTGAGTGCATCATTCCGCTCACAGCATAATAGTAATTGTAACCACCTGGAACTAACGCTATCGAAAAAAATGCTAATGCACGCATGCCCACCCAACCCATCCTCATCCTCTTCATTTTCCCATCCGCCTGTGCATCCGCTTTTAACAATACAATGCATGCCCTTGAAATCTCCTCTAAAAATGTCATCATCAATATTAATTTCAAAATCCGTATACCGAAGCCAACTCATCCATCCATTTTCGCTGTCTACACCCTGCTCTGACGTGCTGAATCCATGATGCTTTTCCTCGCCCAGTCTCCAATCGATCAAGAGCCCAAGGCATAATCGTCAAACCCCAAAACCTCTAGCGATAATCAAGTCACACTTTGACTCAAGCGCGATCTACCCGGACCCTGCGCCTTTTTGATTGCTCTCAATTCTTCCTCAATTCTTCTTCTTTCCGTTTGTTCAGCCTACCATGAATTCATTAGCACGATCCCAGTAATCACAATAAATAATGCAAAAGCCAAAAACTCACCCTCAAAGCCCTCAGCCCCTCCGCCCTCGAATCCCTCATCATCTTCTTGAACTCATTCTTCAGCACCGTCGTGCTCGTGTTATTCATAGTCGGCGTCACGCTTCCATCACCAGGACTCCTCATCCCCAAATTCCTAACCTTCTCATCACTCAACTGACTTTCAAGGTTCTCCCTCTCATCCCTCAATTTATCAATATCCGCTTCTAACTTCTCTCTCTCCTTTTCCCATTCAATCGACGCTTTGGTCATGATTTCATACTCTTCTATCGTCTCTTCAAGCTCTTTTTTGAGTTCTTTAAGCTTCGCCTCTGCCTCCGCGCTATTCGCTGTTGGGCCCGGAGACCTGGCTGCCTGGAGCTCCGCAATCTCGCCTTGAAGCATGAAATTTTTATTATGAAGTGCATCCATTTGTTCTTGCAACGCCTTATTCTTGCTTGTCATAGCATCGATTTCCTTCTGAATGACTGGATTCGAAGCAACTTCTGCAGCACGCTGAGCTCGTGAACCGTATGCACCATCGAGCTCTGCTCTCGCAATAACAACTTCCGTTTGCAATTCTGCAACCTTCATACTGATATCTTCCACCTCCTTCTCTTTCTCTGCCAGTAACCTATCCTTTTCCCTAAGAGAATTCTCATGAGCAACTCTAGTCGTGGCAGCAGCAGCTACAGCAGTTGACAACTCCGCAATTCTAGCTTCGTGCCCACTTAACTTGCTTGTCACATCGGCACTATTAATACCGTTATCATCCTTAAGTTCCTGGAGTTCACTTTCCAATTCATCAATCTTTTTGTTGGCAGCAGTGAGCTGATCCTCGAGATTTCGATTAGTAGTTGCCAGGCCAGCAATTCGTTCCTGCGAATCACGAGCCGCGATTGCAAGTTGTTCTTGTGAATCACGATGCGCATCAGTAAGACTAGCAATTCGCTCCGAAGCTTCACGATGAGAATTGGTAAGCTCATCCTCATGTAGACGACGGGATTCGGCAAGCCGTTCTTGTAATTCTCGAAGGGCAGCGGAATCCTTAGCCTGCGCCTCGGTATCCATCTTATCTGCTTGCCTAGCTTTCATCAATTCAGTCATGACGTTACTGAGTTGTTCTTGAAGATCAGCAGCATTACGTTCTGTCCTCTCGAGAAGGCCTGCAGTTTTGTCAAGCTCTTCTTGCTTGCTTACAAGCTCGGCATCCTTCTGAGCATCGGACTTGTTATTTAGCTCTCGCTGTTGTTTGATTTGTCTCTGAAGAACCTTCTTATGCTCCTTTAATTTAGTGGCCGAAGAATACAGCCACTGCACCTTGGCAGAGAATGATTGAAGTGTAAATGGCTCATTTGGATCACCCATCTCAGAACCAGTATCAGAATCATCCTGAGGAACACGACCATTTGCTACACGATTTTGTCTCCGCTCCTGCTTCTGTTTTCGAATCTCTTCCTCTCCAGATTGTATGATGTCCCACAAACCCATGAGCACGGCTTCCATTTGATCACTATCTCCAGATTTACTCTTGTTGACCAGAGGATTGGCAACTATTTCAGCAGCTTTCGTGAGCTCCTCCTCTACTGAAGCAATAATGTCCTGGAAAAAATACAATTGCTCCCTCAAGCCAGTCTGTTGTCCGGTAATTGCTGGTGGCTCCTGTAACTCTGGGTGCGTAGGAGAAAGAAGACCCCTAACCTCGCGATTCAGCTCTTCCAAAGTATCTTCCATAGAAGCATTTAATTCATCCGCTTGTCGTTTGGAAGCAGTATACTCTAGATCAAGAGTAGCGATACCCTTCTCCAAGTAATCAAGGTGACTTTGTAAAGTTTCTCCGGGCTGGGTTGGTTTTCCTTGGGCGTTGGTTCTGGCAAGTGGTACTGGATTATGGCTTGCATCATGGTCAGGATTAGCCTTAATAATTACTTCTCTCAAAGCAGAATTGAGGTCCTCCAATTTCTGCTCAGTGGTTGTAATTAGTTGCATATGCTCTTTCGACCTTTCTGTAGACGGCGTTTCCAATGTCTGATTCATGCCAAAAGCACCGAAAGAAATATCCAAAGGATCCAATTGTCGGTACAAGCTCCTTTCATCAAATTCGTCCTCGATCACTTCAAGACTGTTCCTAGCATTATGATATGTGTACATACTTTCCGGACTTCCAGGGGGTATGCCACCTTGACGAGAAACATCTTCCCCTGCATCTCTCTTGGGGCCTTTATGCGTCATCTGAAGAATACCCGCCGTGTGCTTCAGTAATCGATGCTCCGGCTCAATCAACCTCTTTTCAAGAGACCATAACTCGGCTGCCAAGTCCTCACATTTCTTTTCACTGGCCGCACGCTCTATATCAGCCTCCCGAACCTGATCGCTATTGCTTCTATTCCTATTTCCAAATATACCACGTTTTTGTTTGTTGGCATCATTCAAATCCACACTCTTCTTCTTGTCCGGATATAATTTTGTCATAGAACGAGCCGCATCGCGATATTTCGAGTGGACCACCAAATTCTGTCGCGCGGTTTGGATTCGTTGGTTCAGAGACTGGCATTGTTTCTTCAGGTCGTCGACTTCCTCTGGAGACAGAATTTCATACTCCCTCGCATCCCATAACGCTGTCTCCACTAACAAATGTACTTGTATAGGATCGTTGATATTGAGTAACATAGAGCTTTGCGGATGCGCCGTATTTACCTATACCATGACAAAATATTAGTCTCTGATTCCCCCTCGAAAATAATTCGCACAACAACAATATGCAACTCACTGGATTGTACCGCGCTTGTGGCTCCTCAAAGCCATTCAAAATATCCGCTCTGTAACCTTCCAAAACAATCGAAGCATCAGGGGCCTGGACATCATATCTCCTTCCAGCCGCAGCGCTCTTCTCCTTCACGAGCCCATCATCATAGCCCCTCGATCTTCTATTCTCCTTCCTATCCTTATCCCTCGTCCTCTCCTGCCCATAATCATTTCCATATCCCCCCTGATAATCATCTCCCTGTTGTCCATCATACCCTCCATAACCCAAATCCTGACTCGTCCTACTCCTATGCTTCCGCGGTTCTCTCTCCCCTCTACTAGGCATCCTCCCCTCTCTTATCTTCGGACCCTCTAACAATTAAACCTCCCTTCCCAATATCTCCCCAAAATCTTCGTGGTCGCGAACTCTCCGTCTGCGAAACCCTCTGAGAAAGGTATATCGAGCTGTATCGTCCAATCTTCTTTATCGCATTATCACCTCTCGAGTTCCCGATTCCTCTCTCTCTCTCTCTCTCTCTCTCTCTCTATTCTTCACAACCAAACTTTGCGAAATGCGACAACCCAAAAGTAGTTATCTCTCCTCCAAAACCAATAATCAAAAGGGTATAAAGGGAAAGAAAAGAAAAAAATCAAAAACTAATCGTCTCTTCAAAAAAAAAAATCGTAGCTCGTTGCATACCTCAAAAAATAACAACAACGGGAGAGCAAAGGAAAGTGTCAAGATAGGGTAGGAAGCAAGAATCCAACGTCCCCTTTTCGGTTCCTGACTAAACTCAAAATGTCTTATCCACCCTGTCACTGTCCTAATGCGTTCAGCGATCAGCCAAGTATCCGGGCACTATCCTCTGTAAAGCTTAATGTTATTTAGATAATCCTTCTTCCTTGCGAAAGACCCTTGTTTCTCAATTGGAGATGAAGATCGATCCTTACTTGAGATCAGAAATTGATAATGTAAAAGTTCTCGAGAAAAAGATTCTCCCATGCAGAAGCAGGATGTTGAAGAATCATGAGTAATTTGTTGGTACTGGGTACCCCCTCGATTATGGTGTACAAAAATCAAATCTCATCCCTCACATCTACAATTATCAGGCCATGCCATGCTGTACCTACCAAGTGACCCAACCTGATCTTATAGCAAACCACTGATAGGTATGCAGGACTGATTGATCATATCATATTAGGTACCTACCTAGCATCTTCCCACTTCCCAAGTACAAAAATAGGCAATTCCAGATCGTGGCGAAGCGGTTCCAAAACGCGGTCTACCAACCAAATGATTTGTGGCTTACCTAGTACCTACTAGGTAGATACGCGATTTAGGGGTCTCGATGGTAAACCAAATCTGGCAATGGGAATCGACTTGACTTGACGTCCATGCCATTTTCCGACAAGTTGATTCAGACCCAGATGGGAGATGATCAGAAAGATTTCCGTAGTACAGACAAGTGTCTACGCCATATAGTATGGAGATCGTATTACTGTATCACTCAATCGACATGCCTAGATCTCTCTCCCCATCCTTAAAAAGGGGGAAGGAATCGCGAAGGATCGTATAATTTACATCTGACCATCCGACCATCTCCTTCCAATTCATACTCATATCTTCATCACATCCGAAGCAAGATAGGACAGGATGTAGTATTTAAGTCTTCTTGTGCAAGTAAGTACTCTGAATTCGGTCACTTGTCGAGGGAGGCCAAAGGCCTGGCTAGCCAAATGAAAACATTTTCAACCGAATTGTTGGTAGTAATACCGTTTGTTGGTACTACCTGCTTATGTCTAGTCTGACATTTCAAGACCATCGATTTCTATGTCTTGGTTTTAGGCATTTTCACCATTTCCGTTATAGCTAGTATCTACATGGTATGCGAAGTTGTCGTAAAAGGTCTGATGAGCTCCCTACAAGACTTTTCTACACGTCTATTAGACTCCAAAACGGGGTCAAGTCACACATCATCACACAAGAATACAAGATCCAATCTAATCACCCAAAACCTTTCATCGCCCGAAGACAGCCCCGCGATATCATTGTAATTATATTCATGATTTTTTTGCTCCCGAAAATAACGCTATGCTATCCCACGCAATGCTACTTTTGGCCCTTTTCTGCTGTCGTACGTTATAGGTATATCCAATCCATCCTGTTCCGTAATACTCCTAAAACGCGCATATTCCGAAAAGCGAACCATCCGAAGCCAAACCAAAATAAAGAGTAGAGTAGATAAACCCCAAACCATCGCTCAACCGCCAGCCCGTCACCTAAACAAAAACTCCCCTAAAATGATTCACAAAAGACGTCGCCCCAAGAAGCTCCCTCCAAAAAAGCATGGTATCCTGAACCGCCCAAAGAAATCACATGAAACCATGAGACCAATAAGATAAGATCCAACAAGAAACCATTCTTCCTTGACGACATCTATCTCTTGAACATATAATGTCCATACATGCCACCCACTTCTGCTCTAGCAACTGGCACTTTTCTCATTCCCCAATAATTAGCTCCCCACTTCCACTGTCTTCCTCCACAGTCCTTTTCACCATCCCCAGTCTTATCGTCTCGAACCAACCAGTATCTTCGACCTGCCTCTTTCAAGCACCAACCCGCTCGCTTCACCAGAGAACTAGTATTCATGACTTTGAAACATTCTAGACCAATCTCGAGGACTTCAAGTGGTAGAGTATCATTTCTGAGTATTGGACAACTGGAACCGAACAAAGTGCCTAGATCGAGTTGAGACTTTGAAAGATCTGAAACATCAATGTAGTGTAGCGTGTGTGGAATCCAGGAAATTTGCTCTTCAATGCTGGCATCTTGGTCTGGTACGAATAGTCGACGAATATCAGACAATACCAAGCCATGACCCAAACCGAGCTCCTCCAGATGCTTTGTGAGTGGCAGAAAGAGTGGAATGTGCGATTCATGCATCTCGCTGCCCTTGAGACTCAAAGATCGAAGAGTCTTGGGGAGGATTGGAAGTAAAGCTGTGACCTCCGAACGTTTAAACATTTCGTGGGATTTGATATCCGAGCCTAGGTTAAGGTAGACTAGCGATTGAACAGCTGGATGTGTGCTGAGGAATTCGACTACCTTATCTCCTGAGAGGTAAGAACACTTGCTAATATTCAAATGCGTAAGCTTCGCTGTCTTCGGAATGGAGAAGAGGATGTCGTCTGTGATGCGAGTATGCGCGACATCAAGGTGAGTCAATTGCGGAAGCCGTGGGATGAGTGTCTCGAAGACTGAAGATGGCAAATTTGTGCATTCGTGGAAACTCAATCTGGTGATGGGCAGAACTCCAGGAATCTCACAAGTGTTGATGACCGTAGTAAAGGAGTCACGGAAGGAAGCTGAAGAGCAAGCGCAGAAATCCAATGCTTGAATGTTTGGCAACTCGCACAGGAGTTTTTGAATGACCTTTGCATCCATGTCGTCATCGATATGCTCTTGGCTCAAAAATTCCCGTAAATTTGGAGTTAGGGACAGGCATTCGAGAAGTGTTGCAGGAATCAAGTTCAATGTCTCGGCACGCTGTCTAGCAGTGAGACCAATGCCTGTTGGGTTGAAGTGGGAGAAGTCCAATCGTCGAACGATCGTGCCTAGAGCCGGGTACTCTCTGATATGAGCCAGGAATTTGCGGAAGACTCGAGAGTGTGGGATGGTAATCTTTGTATAGAGAGAAGCTAGAGTCGCCGAATGCATCGCGTGCGATGTAAGGAGGAGAGACATCAAGTCAACATTGCGTGGTGTGATTCCGCCTGGAGGAATATCGGTAACAAGCTGATCAATGATAGCGCCTGTTGACGTTAGCACTATACCCAAAGTCATCATAGGCATACGTTGAACCTCAAGCTCCTGACAATCCACAGGATTATGATGGAGTTGTAGATAAAGCTGTTCCCAGATGTCCCCGAGGAACTAGAGTCATGTGACTACATCATCACCCGTACCCTGAGGGCCGATTCCTTGGAGTCGATTTGGGCGAGCACGCGCATTCGTATTGTAAATAGATATCCAGTAATTCGGTTGGTGGAATTTATCACAAAGGGAAGTAGCTTACCAAGTAGTTCCGCAGGTAGCATCTCTATTGGAGACTTTCCAGAAATAGCGACTCCGACTTCTTCCACAACCAGCGGTGCCTCTGGCTTCAATTCCGGCTCAAGATTGGCCTTTGGCTCATAGTCACTGTCCCATCCCCAACCCATTTTCATGTTCCGTAAATCACTGTAGCTCTTACTTGCAATCTTACCACGTACTGCAATTTGCTTCCAGCCTCGGAAGCCATCGCACGGGCAAACGAGTCCATGAAGAGTGCTGTGAGGGTTTGTGGACCACAACGTTTGCATTTCGGGCTCAACAGCTTCTGGGGGAGTTCTAGAGCCGCCGCTGCTTGTATCGTCAATGGCGATTTCGTTCTCGTTTTCGTTCTCGTTACTGTCGACTTCGTATTTCAGGTAAGAGCTAACCTTGGAATCCGTGAAAGATTGAGGAACTCCCGAAGTATTTTCTTTTACACTTGAAAAGCTGGTCCTGTCTCCACGATCAGACGTTGGAGGTGTTATTGAATGCTTGCGAGATATTAAACTAGGAGCTGATTTCATCGGCCTGGTTGGCAGTGGTACGTTTGAATTTGCCACGGCCATATTGGATGGGATGTATGCTGCACGCGACCTGGAGGTGAGGGGAATCTTTTACAAGAATATGTGATTTTGAATCCAGGTGGTTGGGATTAGATCAATGAGGGAGACAAATAGACGGTGAATAATAGACAAGCCAGCAAGTCCTATGATTCTTTCTTTTTTTCCTATTTCTTTTTTTTCTTTTCTTAATAAATATTAAAGAAAAATGTGGTTGCACTCGCACTGTACAGAGGTTGATCAAAGGAAGAAAAAAAAGTGAGAGGAAGAAAATCTCTTAGTCACGGATTGTCTATCTCGTAAGAGAATTCCCAAGCACAATTTTAATAATATGCGGGGGAAAATAGAGGGGTTCTTTATGACACACGTTGAAAGATTTTTCAAGTGTGACTACCAGTAGGTGAAAGGGATTGTTCAATCAATCAATGACAAGAAAATGGATGATGATTTTGTAAGGAATATCAAAAAAATAAATGTTGCCTTGACTTTTTTGAGTTGTGTTTTTATATGGATGGATGGTGTTGGATTGGTGTATGGTTGGTGGTGTGTTGCATATGTGCAGGTGCAGGTGCAGGTGCAGGTGCTTAAGTGCTTATTAGGTGCTTAGATGCTTAGGTGCTTAGATGCTTAGATGCTTATTAGGTGCTTAGATGCTTAGATGCTTATTAGATGCTAAGGTTACCTAGGTGCTTAGGTCGGTGCGTGCTTTGAGTGGCGTTGTTAAAGCCTTTTATCAGGCTCGTCAGGGTAGAAGAGAATGGAGATGGAGATGGAGATACGGTATCAGCGAAACGATACCGGTAGAGTAGTCTCATGTTGGTGATTGAATGGTTGGAAATTTATGCTTTGGTAAGGCGAAGATGAAGGAGGGATGATCCGTACGGTAGCTGTCTATGTCTGTGTACCTGGGTAGGCACGGTTATTGCTTTGCATTGATTTGATTGATGTGATTTGGAAGGGAAAACTTTACTTAAAAGGATGGTCTAGTCACTAGTGAGGGTAGATGGAAGAAGAAGAAGATGAAGAAGAAGAAGAAGAAGAAGAAGAAGTGGAACAATCAATGTGTTGGTTGGTGATGATTGAATTATTAATTCTTTCAATGCCAGGTATTCCTACGATATATCAAATATCGACATTATCAGATATTATCAGATAACTATCGATCCAACAAACAGTGACATGACAGCCTGAGGCACATATAGTTGAATGAATCATTCCCATCATAATATCTGTTTAGAATCCAAACCTTATGAGCAATAGATAGATCTAGGTAGAGAGTGGTGTAGAATGGATAGCATGGTATAACATCTACAGACCAATATCGTATCTATCATCTATCCCGTAGATCCGCAACAAGATCAAGGGAATGCAAATCTACTGGTAGCTAAGTTGCCGCCCAATGCCACTTCTCAATGCTCAGGTGATTCTCCAATCCATGAATCGCTTGAGTAATGCAAACAAAAAGAATCCTAAGAGGCTGGATACCTACATCATCACCACTTTATTAGGTTTGTGACTCGTGAGTATGAGGGTCTTTTTCGCCAGCTCTCGGAGGAAAATGGAGAGGGGGAGAGAGAGAGAGAGGAGACGAAACGTGTTGATAATCCTTGCTTGATATTTCATTCATTGTTCACACCTACAGGCTACCCGTAGTAACTAACTCGCAAGTGGCATGGGATATGGCATAATAATCCATGAAAGATCCCAATCTGAGACGCTAAGAATAATATTTCTTTGTCAAGGAATGCGTAACGCACCGAGCACGCAGCTTATCTTGTAATTTGTAAAGTAGTAGACCTACTAGGTAGGCAGGTATGATTATCTGCTGGTGTGCTCGTTTTGGTTCCGAATTGAAAACCATGAATGGGACATGTGATGTATTATTTTCCCAATAGTCTGGTATCCGAGCAGAAGAACCGCTCCATTCTACGAAACAAAAGCATGAAAGAGGTCTGGCAGCGGAGAAGGTGAGATGATGAGGCTTGGCAAGGATGCAACTATTACGTCTTCAGAATTCAATTCTCCCATGAAGAATTCAAAGATATCTGGTGAAGGGGTTCTTATAATGTAATGGAATGATGGTATTCGATGAGAGTAAACGACATGTATCATGTACGGAGCATCCTGTATGAAACTAGGAAGATGGCAGCAGGAGTGCAGCATAACGTATTTCCTATGTCATTTTGCGTGGGATGTGCAGACAGATTTGATTCACATTACCCATCATGAATAGAGCAGTGGAATCTTGACAACAGCTACATACCAATGATTTGGATGGATCGCTTAGAAACGCCCGAATTCGGTTACATAAGGATAATCCGACAATCAGTCAATTAGTCAAGCCATCAAACCATCAATCAAATCAAAGCAAGTCAAATCAAATGGATCAATGCCAAATCCAATGAATGATCTGGGGGTGAAAAAATTAATACACAAACCAAACTCCGGGTCTAGATTTCGTTACGAGTTCATCTACTACCTAGGCAGGTACTTACATTACAATTGATGATTACGTTGCGTCAGATTCTGTTACTTATTAGCTACCTATCTACAGAGTACCTCCATCTCCTCAGTACGGCTAGCTGCAGTACAGTGACGGAGTACAACACCCATGGATATTGGTCCTCTAACCTTTTACGAGTGGAGTCACCCCAGTTTCTTGGCCACGTTACTCGCACCACGGTATATCGAAAGAAAGGGGTCCAACCTTTGAGGTTTAGACCCGAATATACTATGGATAGAAAAGACAATCGGTGAAGATCCCATTGGCGCACGAGCAAGTCTAAACTTACTCTATAGTCGGGTGGTACAAGCACAGGGGGGAGAAGTACGGGGTAAGTCTACTTGCGGCAGGCAGCTCTTACCATGTACAGAAATCCTTACCACTTTTTCCCCCCTAATGCACTCCACATTGACCCCAAAAAAGTCGACCGCACCCAGATAACTTTCGATCCGAACTTTCCATGCGAAGCCATGTTTCAATACTTTTCTCCATCACGTGGACCAATCAATATCCTTTTCGCTAAACTACCTGGTACAGTGAGAGATCGAGTCGCCGTCCGTCAGGCGGCGCTTGCACATTTCATTCGCCTCGCCAATACCTCGATATCTGGAGCCTCACAACTTGAATCGATGAACACACTTCCATTTGCTCAAATTAAACAAGAGTAGTGGGCTTTCATTGCATCTATGGCAGTGTTTCCCATCATATACATTATAAACAAACGTCGTTTCTATGTAATAGCCCCCAGACCAAGGTTAATTCCCATATATCCATACTCCAAGGGGCCTTTATGCGCCATAACGTTACAATGAATGAGCCATCCAGGTATCAAAAACGTACTAAAAACTCCGTTGTCCTGCTATAATATGACCGGCGTTACTTATCGTCCGTTGTTGAATCGCTTGTTCTTCATTTTTTCTTTACAATCATCACAGTACCATTTTGCTATACCATGTTAGTGACTGGTTCCTCTGGGCTATCAAGTGTGGAGGAAAGAACGTACCATTGCCCCTAGGTGCAATTTTGAGGCCCACACATTCGAGATGGAACCACTCCTTCTGGCAACTACCATTATCACAGGCTACCATCTCCCCGTAACTAACACCATTGCAGTAACAGTAGGTAGGCTCATCTGCGTCTATTTCAATGTCTTCGTCGTCGCCTTGCGCACTGCTTGTCGTATCGTCAGGCTCCAGATTTTGTTGGGCAATAAGTTGAGCGGCTGCACCTGCACCTTTCTTATGACTTCTTTTGGCTGTAGATGTGGTGTCTGGAATGCTGCGCGATGATCTTGAACGAGGCGGTTCGACGAAAGAAGGCATTGCCGGCGTTGAAGGTTTACTTGCTCTGCCACTCTTTGTTGTTACTGTTGTTGATTGGATTCCCTGCATAGAATCTCCATTTGATTCTACAGTCTCCTCACGTTTCATACTCTCTCTGCTGTTCCCTACTACTATGCCACCTAAGACTTCTGGATTTTGTGGTTGAGCATCCTCAAGGAGATGCTCTCCCTTGCCATTTGTACCGGCCTCTTTCATTGTTGCCTTTACTTCTGGGACAGTTTTCCCGGTTACACTTGCTGCTGCTGCCAGGTCAGGCGTGCCAGGCGTATTTCCGTTTAGCTTGTTCGAAGCTGAAGATTGAGTTTGTCGTGTTGTATCCGCAAGTGATTGTACTGAATTCTGTCGAGCCCTTGCTGAAGCCGGTCTTCCACCATTTACAGGAGCAGGGGATGCTCGTCCCGGAGGTCTAATATCAGGAAATGTAGTTCGAATTGGGGAGGATGCTAATGAGGGCGACATTGCAGAAGTTGTCGTATTGTTCCTAATTAATCATTGGTTAGCGGAATTCTTTGCTCTCCGATTGGGAGCAAGCGACATACCTCTTCCTTGCTTGTCCATTCGGTGCCACTCTAGCTCTGGCCGGCTTTTTAGTTCCATCTGGTGCTGGAGTTGCTCTGGGACTCGCTGCCTTGCCCTTTGAAGCAGATCCATTGATACCAAAAACGCCATTCAAAGCACGTTCCGTTGATGGACCGGCATTAGCAGTTTTCTCAACCTTTCGCCTTTTCGGAGGATTCCCATTTGTACCATTTCCATTCGTTATCCCAAGTCCCACATTCGTTGGTGTCTCGGCAGTAGCAGTAGCAGCTTTCCGAGCTTTGCTATTCCCGTGTGGTCTTTTGTTCGAATCTGCTTTTCTTCCCTCGTGAGTATCGTCAAAATCTGAGTCTGCATGCTGAGTTTTGGCTCCTTTTCTTGCAAGCAATGCTTGCTTCCTAGAATCACTCCTCGCAGCGTGTTCTTCTGCCACTTGTTGGGCCGCAGCACTCGTATTATTGACGGGAGGGGCATCCCTTCTGGAATTACCAACAGGATTCACCTTAGATGTTCTGTTCTCGGGATATGCCCAATGTGTAGTACTGCCGTGTCGTGCTTCTTCGCTCACTTCGTTCTCGATGTGTGGGAAGCATTGATCCAGACGCGCGAGTTGTTTATTAAGT